ATTCGCATCGATGTTCGCGGCGCCGCTAAACGACAGCTTCGTGGCTTCCCTCATCGCCGCTGCAACTTCTCCCCCACCAACGACATCCACACCACCGCTTTCACGGCAACGATAGCATCGTCTACAAGCAGTCGACACTCTGCTGATACGGCTTCGCGAGACCGTCGACCTGATGCTCGAAGTGTCAATTTCCCGCCCCTTCACAGGCCGCCGCAGCTTCGTTCGGATGCCCGCCGCAGACACGGGACTCTACACTATCCACACCAACGCCACGACGATCATACAAGGCAGAGGAGGCCTGGAAAAGGCGACTTGGACATTGAAGAGACTGCCCGGTTCTTTTGCAGCACCAGCAGCAAGCTGCGACATCGATTGCGGCGGCGGACAGAGCTCCGAAGGCATCTCCGCAACCATGACACGACCAGCGACACCACCACAGCGATCAAGACTTAGAAAGCTGGCTTCCGGCGACTGCGAACGATGGCAGCTTCCCTTTACTTACGACCAGAATGCTCTCGTGGGTCTAACATGCAGCCGCGATACCGTCGTCATCTTTGCCTCCTTCCTGCGACCACGACGAGCAAGACTGCGTACGAACCCCGTCTATCGATCGCGACACCAGCTTGCGACTGGATCTTCATCGCATCGACAGCAGACGACGACGCTGACATCGATCTCGACGGTCGGACAAATCGCAGCCCCTCGAGCGGAGCGTCTGCCTCCAGGGCGGACGGCTGACGACACGGCGAAAAGCTCACTTCCGATGTACACCCCCCACTTGGGATCACCGTTGGCCTTTACCACGACACGGTGCTAAGGCGGGCAAATTCAGCGCGGGTCGTCTTTTACTTGCGACTTCAGCACGATGTATGTACCGCGTCTTCAGCCAGGCCTGCCGCGAGCGCCACGACAACTCCCACCCCATACAAAGACGACATCCACTACTACCACAAGGAGTCCGGGATACATCTGTAGCTCGCAGTACCTTAGTGGGAAGCTGGCGGTACGATCTATGATCGGCGCCCGCTGTCAAGACTGCATGGATCGGGCATCGACACCCACCCAATACGACAGGTCTCCTTGTTCTACTTGGTACCGCAACGGAGGTCGAATGCTGTGACTGCCGGCCAAGAGCGCGCGCGAACGGCACTGCCGCGAATAACGACAAACAAGATACCTCCGGACGGCCACGGTAGACCCAGGGTTTTGATGTTGATGAACCAAGGTCAGAGTAGGAGAGGCTAGCACCAAGAACACCAGAAGGATGTCTTCAACCCCGGGCATTGCAAGAACAAGCATCCACCTGCTCGACTGCTCAGGCTAGCAACAACGTCTGGCGTTGTGTCGGGCTTCTGGTCGATCTGATCGGACCGGCCATGTACAACAGCAGCATGGCACGTCGGCCAAGGCTGCAAAGTTCTCTCAGCGCCGGTATCGAGGAATGTCGGATCGCTCCGTCTACTAATCAGCTGAGAGGATTCTTCGAGGTCTTGGTCTCGATGATAGGTCTTTTAGCCTTCCGACGATGACAGTGGGTATCTGGATCTCGTCGTCGACGAGATGGCCAATAAAGCATGTGTGCCTTCCCGGTCATAAAGGTCCACAGCCATGCATGAAAACGGCCTTCCCACTCTCAAGCGCCAGCGAGGGTACTTGCGAGGTCTAGTGCGTCCATGCAACGAGATGGTCCCCGAGATATACAGGAGTTGACAATATTCGTCAAGGATGATAGATGATTGTGAAGTAATGTCCTTTCATCCTTCGCCAGAGATACCATGTCAAGCAAGAGATGGATGAAGACGGGTCATCAACGTCAACGGGACGTTGGGGTCGACAGCGAAATGTTCCAGGACAGGCCGACCGACAGCGGCCTTCATTCTCAAGCCCAGTATGGAATTGCGCCAAGTTCTGCTGTAATGCAGCTCCGGAGGATAGAGCAAACATCATCGACAAACTTCAACGAAGTCTCCATCATGTTGCCTTTTATCGAGGCCGGTTGTGTCGAGTCCACTCAGATTTGCCCAACCTTGTACGCCTGGGTGATGTTCATAGGCAGGCAGCGCGACGCCGCCCAAGCTTGGAGTGGAGATGCGTCGCCGCGGGCTGAGGGTATCCCATACTCGAAATCATCCGGCCTGTCACCAGGCTTAGCATACACAGCCGCCGCTGCTTGTATACTTCGTGGAGGTCAAGCAGGCTGATGACCGGTATCCTAAGGAGCTTGGCTTGGCCGTCTACCCTCGTCCCAGTCGTTCATGGGCGATGTCCTCGAGATCATCTCAGCGCTCTGTATTCCTCAACCGGTTTATGTCTCAATGTTAAGACGCGACATTGTGGTCGTTGTAGCCATGTCGCTTCGTCAGAGCCGATCGGTCGAGGGTTTGTCGTGTAGTCTGGTTCCCTTCGATGAGCTGCGAAGGCGAAAGTCCATTGCATTGCAAGGTCTCTGATGATTCATTGTTCAAGGCGCTGCTTCGTTGTCCGTGCAGACATGCTGGTGGGGCGCTACTGGCGACTCGGGCTTCGGGTGTTTCTTGCTCGGAGAGGCGCTGCGATATGAGGAGAAGGACAATCGTCTGAGTCTCTAAGCACTGCCGCAGGAGCAGAGAAGATGGTTCCCGAGCTTGCTGTTCCTGCATCGCTTGATGCCCGCTCGTTGCTCTCAGGATGTTTCCAGGCGCAGCCCCCGAGGGGAGGTAAAGGCGGCCGCCTCATACCCACACGTTCCTCTCTGCGAATTGCCTGAAGGTCTCCGTCAAGCCACTTCATTGCGTTACCCTGTCGTCTCCGCCGGTATAGACAGTTGTCGGGCGCTGCGGGGATGCCTTCGGGGATGCGATAAAGTCGTCGAGCAGACACCTCCGCTTCGATGGCAAGGCTCCAGGGGTCATGCGGCTCGCGAGGAAGGAGGCCATGTTGCACAAAGGCTGCTCAATGGTGTTGCTGTCTAGGCGCGCCCGTCGTGCGATAGTACTGCTGTCGCAAGAGGTCCGCTGTTAAGGGAGCGCTTCCAGAGGCCTGGTCAGTCTCGAAGTCAGCGAGAGCAAGGCTGTTGAGATCTGCTCCAGCATCACAAGAGCTTGTCTGCAGTGGTCAGTAGCTCTGCCGTTGTCGGTTTGGTGGTGCTGGTTGCGGTGATCGTGGTGGTCTGGAGATGGTGTTGAGGCCGCGGAGGAGACCAAAGCCAGCGCCAGGCTCAACACCATGGCCATAGAGGCGGCAAAGGACAGGAACATGATCTCGCAGCGCCTCGCATTGTGAAAGCCTTGTTTCTCAATAGGAGCTCCGCAGCAGCGCCGCAGTGATTCTTCTTCGACATTGAGGAGTTGCAGCTGGCGGTCTGTTGTTGGTCGAGGCAAAGGGTTGTTATGGTCTGCGAGGATTATCATGAGATTTCAGGATCGCTCCACAACAAGCATTGAGGCGCTGCAAGCTTGCTGCAATGGTGCACGACCCTTTGGAAGCTCATTGTCTCAGGTGGCCAACCCCTAAGTGCTGCCAATGGAGATCAGACATTGCATTAAGCCTTTGCAAGAGTCTTAGCATCAGTTGAGTCCATCTCAAATGCAGTATTAGACTTAGAGAGCTGAAGGCCTCCTGTTCCATGGGGCCTGAAGTGCTCATGAGCCCTTGGATGCTCGTCGAGGCATGGGAGTAGAAAGGGCATGCTGTCAAGGGAGACATACGCCTACTGACACGCCCCGTTGCCGTTGCCGATGCTAGGGCCGCAGGCCAAACAAACTGGACCCTGTGTGCATGCAATCCCCGCAACGCTGCCGCCTCGTCGTCGTCATCGCCGCACAACTCTCTCGCTAAGATCCCACAAAGTCTCACCAACTTCTACACCAGACATACCCAATCTGAGGTCCTATCAAGATATAAAGGCCTGGATTGTACTATATTCCATCATCCCACCTCCGCGGTGAAGACGCATAGCGTAATGGAAAAGGCACCTCACCTCTTTCCGTGGTTCATATACCCAGGTTCGATCCTGACCGCCACCCATCAGGCGGTATATAAATATGGTGGGCTAAGGTGCGTCTTGCGTTTCATTGCTGTCACTACTAACAAAGAGGTTCGGCTGTGGTGGCTAAGAGGTATAAGAAAGATGTAGATCACCACGGGCAGCTTCAATTCCTATAGCTGTCCGATTAACGGTGCTTCGAACTTTTTGTTTTTTGCTTTTCCTTTTTGCTATGCTATGTACATGATTTCCTGCTTCTGTCTTCTTTTTGCCTCTACCTCTTTGCCGCTAAGCGAGCACACGCTGTTTTGCCACGCAAGAGTGTTCGCAATTCTTTTAGGTGAAGATGCTGTATGCTTATAATGTACGCATTACGCTTGTATTAGCATAGGTAAGAAGCTTAGAGAGTAAGAAGTCGCCGGAGTGTTATCGCAGCCTTGGGCGAACATGCCTTTGCTATCAATTGCTGCACCCGCGCTTTCTGCCTTGTCTAGCACGACAAAGACAGAGCGAGCATCTGCCTTAGACTTTGTGCGACGCAGCACGCTCTTATGCCTGCGAGTAACTCCTTTTTATGATTCTGGAGTACGAGACAGACGCAGTAGATCGCAGCACAACACTCAAAAGCGCGCGTTGAAACGAGTAAGTCAAGCTAATAGCAGAGCAATGCAACACCCATCAAGCCGCATTCGGATGGCGAGCTTTGGTTTAGTCTCACGAATTCCTACACTCCCGCGGATTCCAAGAAGCAATGCGAAGAAGACTTATGCTATTTCGCTGATAAGAGCCATCAGCGTAGGCAATAAGTTCATCCTCTCCTTTGAGCCACGACTAGTTTGTCAGGAATACAGCTTCTGAATCAACTCGGATTGAGACGTGCGTCTTAGTTCTGCTTCCTTTCCCGACGCATATCAAAGATGCGTCTAAACAAACTTCTTATGGATCGAAGTCACATAGTGCGAAAGATTCACCACAGTCAACACATTAAATCTTAGCAGGACCTGCATCCAACAGGATGGGTATCTTGGTTTCACATCTACATATGTTTCCACCCGGTCTCAATAATGACTTGCATCTCGTTGACAAGGCAAAAGCCGCCGGGCTCCGACTTCTTTGTTTCCGCAGTCCACTTTCCCAACTTCATACGTACGACCTGCTCCTTGAACAAGCTGGTTGTAGTCCACCTCAAAATGCGACTCCTCCATAACGATCGGAATATCTGAAATGGAGACAGTATGACTTCCGGCGAGTGTACGTCATCATGCGAGGTACCGTTGTAGCCGACTCTGACATTGGGGTTGAGAAAGACACCCTTGGTCGTGGAGAGAGGATTGTCGGCGTGTATCAGGCAGCACTCAGACGCTTCAACATGTGATGTTGCGAGGGAGTCGGGTATACCGCGGAAGCGTAAGGGTGGGCTGGCGAGGAAGGGCTCGATGGGCATAGCAACTGCGCATTGGTTAGTAAGTGCGCAGGAGGTCAGACAATAGCGGACTCACCTATTCCATTCCAGCATGAGGAGACGGGCACTGGCAATAGCTTCTCGGCTGCGTGCCTCGAGGCGTACGATCTGAAGTAAGGCCAAGTTTGCATCAAGGCTTCATGGCCGCTTGAGTCTCGGAGCGCAAAGGTATCGTAGAACTGCGGCGGCTTCTTAAAGTCGATGGAGCAGGCTGCCGCATAACGACCGCCATTGGTGTCCAGCAATCGCAGTACGTCTTCTGGGGTGAACACCACGTCGTTGAGAAACAATATGGTGTCGAAATGCTCGCCCTCCGCAGCCAGGCGTTCCAAGGGCTCAAAGACATGATTCCGTATGCTCGCCAGAAAGGGCATGCGCCTCAAGTATGTCTCCCCGTCCGATGCCTTGATCCATCCGTGGTCTGTCGGCGACTGCGCGATCTCATCCGTGTGCGATCTGTCGGAGAGTTGTATCGACCTCTTCACCTGCAGAGGTTCCAGCGCAGCATCGAGTTCTTCCAGTACGCCCTTGGTATAATCATAGCTGCCGCTCTCGTATATCGATACGAACACGTTCTCGACACCCAACTCTTGTACCAAAGCTACCAGCGCGTTGTTCCAATGCTCCCGGAGTAGTCGCGCGTTGTTCCAGTGCTGTGAGGCTATGTATATGCGCTTCGTATTACGAGGTGGAGGCGGGCCGGTCGTCGCAGATGTCTGGTACTTGGACAAGGAGAGGCAGTGCAGCGAGTCCCAGACAAGAAAGAAGAGGACCAGTATCCGGAATGCTGAGTATAGCGGATGGCGGCGGAAGGAGTAGAATCTATGACAGCGCATTAGGAGACTAGGTTCTTGCGTAACTACAGTGCCATTGAGAAGGGAAGGTTATGGCGCTCGCGACGAAGCAACGAGGACAAAGGGTGTAGTGAAGGCGCGCGAGTGAAAGAATGGAGCAGGTGCAACATACCACAAAAATCGTTCGCGCCTCCAATTGAAGCTCCTGACCTAGACGTTTGGGCGAAGCAAACGTCCGGGCCCTTGGTACAAACCTAGTGTGCTGCTAGGGACGGCATTTGGGTCGTATTGTAGTAAAGCCGAGATGGCCGTTTCATCGAGGGGGTACGATGGTGAACCGTGGATTTCACTCGGCACCTTTTTTTAGTCCCATCAATTTCCCTTCCGTTCCGTACAACCCGTGTAGAAGTGATTGCGCGAGGGTGATGCGACGTTTAAGTGCAGCTGGTTGGCCATCTTGTGGTAGTGTGCCGGGTGACTTTTGGGTGACAGCGACGGCGTCAGGGGCCAGACGCGACGGACGCGTTTACGTCAACGTCCCCGCATCACGTGGTTGCCCCACCCAACAATCAGGTAGCTCTCGAAGCCAGACTGGACGACCTGGCCTCGGACCTGTCCTGACTTCAACAATGGATCTTCTCACATCGACAACTTTCTTTTGCGACATCGAGGCATGTATGCGTTTGCGATAAGACATCATAGTGCTTACCGCTTACGCCATCAATGGAAGATTTGGCTCGACGAATAGCAGAAGCTGCGAGCAGCCACATCTGATAATGCAGCCTTCCTTTGTCAGCAGATCCGACCCTGCTTTTTCGCACACACAGTATCGACTTACAAATTCCGGAGAGTTTGTGGTTTCGGACGAAAACTATCGAACGTTTCCACTGGAGGACTGTCGATACCCTACCTAGGTGTATACTGACAATTGGGTTAGCCTGCTATCAGTAATCTCATCATGTTCGAGTACGCATTGCTTTCTCATGGCCACCATGATAGGATGACTCCGACCGGAGTCTTTAAGGCTGATCGGTGATTACTTCTTTCGGGTGGTACATGCTTACCTCGCTTCCTATCCCGCCAATCTGGTGTCTCGAGGATTCGCATCTCCGACCTCTCCGCACATTCGTCCGTCCAAGCGACGACCTTATATGTACACACTCTACACATGCCGCAGGTATTGGTCGATGAATCATCAGATCTGACGTCCGGTCACGTTTTATGTCCGCTGACTCCGCTAACACCAGAGGCTTTTCGTTGAACTAACGTCAGAGAAGTGTCCGACGAGTTGCAGCGCTGGAAATCTCTAGATCAGCCTAGTACTCACTGTAGCATGCAATGGCGCATCGGTACGTGGTCGAGAGTGAGACTTATCCTCGTAGATTGTTGCCGTTTTAGGGGCTATCGGGGACATATGCGAAGAGCACGCTATCGCCATGGCTCAACTCGCTGACACAACGTCCATATCGTGTCGTTTATTTTTCGCGCCAAGAGCTGTACCTTCAAGTTGCGCGAGAGTCTGACAAACCCAGATGCTGGGCGTGTAAGACGTGGAGTTAAGATAGCAGCCACGATGGAGGATATAAGCCTGTAGCACAGACTCTCAGTGTTGTGCAACATCACCACGTTTCCATACTTATCTTACAAGCCCGCCTTCCTCGGAAACCTTCCTATCTTCCTCACATCTGGCAGTCCAGGGCCGCTACTGCTACCTCTAGTTACCTCTTCGTTCTGTCTAGCATCTCCTCCCAATCGACAACAACCTTACGATAGCATCGCCAGAATGTCATACCTTTTCAAGCACTCCTTCATCGGAACCTTAGCCCATTACATCAAGCATCGAAAATTCGACTATGCGCGTACAAAAGCAAAGCCAATGTCTACATCTTCGTCAACTGACGATCTCCCTTTCCCAAAGGAAGCGGTCCCTGGAGCTGGAGATGCTGTTGGCACAGAGCTTAAACAGCACCAGACCACCCTCGTCGACTGGGATGGACCAAGCGACCCAAGTAACCCTCAGAATTGGCCTCAGTCCCACAAGATACTTGTGACTGTGCTACTATGCGTCTATACCTTTGCCGTGTACGTCGGCTCTTCCATATACACATCCTCACAACAAGCGGTCATGGACAAGTTCGACGTCAGCCATGTCGCGGCCTCGCTCGGCATTGCGCTCTACGTTCTGGGCTATGGAATCGGATGTCTGCTCTTCTCGCCGCTATCTGAAGTACCAGCCATCGGCAGGAACCCTCCGTATGCGGTATCTGGCTTTTTCTTCATCATCCTGTGCATACCGACTGCACTGGTGGACAACTTCGCTGGTCTGATGGTACTGCGCTTTCTCTTGGGATGTAAGTGACGCTCTTTGAATAACTTTTACGACACATACTGACTTCGACGTGCAGTCATGGCCTCACCCTGTCTCGCCACGGCTGGCGCATCGCTCGGTGACATCTGGACGATGGCTGAATTCCCATTCGCGGTTGCGCTCTGGGCGGCGGTCGCGACACTCGGTCCCGCACTTGGACCTACCCTATCTTCATATGCCGTCAAGGACTTGGGATGGCGCTTCTCAAGCTGGGAGCTTCTCATTATCGCAGGTCCAGTATACCTCGCCATATTGTTGGTACTGCCGGAGAGCTCCGGACCCACCATTCTGTACTACAAAGCGAAGCGCATGCGAGAGGACACAGGAAACCAGGAGCTGATGTCGGCCTCCGAGCGAAAGCAAAAGAACATGAAGGTCAGCAGCTTGCTCTTCGACGCGCTGGTCAAACCTTGGGAGATCAATGCCCTCGACCCTGCCATCTTGTTCACGACCGTGTACATGGGCTTGTGCTACGGCATCTACTACTCATTCTTCGAGGTAAGCACTCACCTTGCTCAAGCCACAAAGACGCTCACTGACGCATCCATCATAGTCCCTACCTCTCGTATATCCTGTATACTACGGTTTCAATGCCGAGTCGACGGGCCTCGTCTTCCTCTGTATCCTCCCAGCCTGCCTTGGCGCCTTCGCGGCACACGTGCTGTACCTCAAGTACCGCGTCTTCCCTCGCCTCATGAACGGGACGTTCGGTGAGCTCGAAAACCATCTATGGCCCGGCATGGTAGCTAGTCCCGTCATCGCGGTAGGGTTGTTCATGTTCGCATGGGCATCAAGACCCTCAGTCCACTGGATGGTGCCTACCATTGGTCTCAGTCTTACTTGTTTTGGGATCTACTTCATCGCGCAAAGCGTTCTGCTGTACATCCCTAACATCTATCCGACATACGCAGCCAGCATCTTTAGTGCCAATAGTCTTAGCAGAAGCGCGTTTGCGTTTGCGGCGATCTTGTTCGCCAGACCCATGTTCCAGGGTATTGGGATCGATGGTGGTGTGAGTTTGCTGGCGGGATGCATGGTGTTATGTTCGTTTGGCATCTTTGCGCTATACAGATACGGCAAGACATTGCGAGAGCGAAGCCGCTTTGCTGTCGCTTGATGAGGGGGAAGTAATAAATGGAGGATTGTGAGCTGCGTTACGTCAACGCCGACTGGAAATGAGACGACATGGACTGCCCGGGGCATGCTTTGGAGGGACATTAAGAAACTTACGACTTTTATAATCCATGCTTAGACTGAATAGATAGACACGAATTCTGTACAACTTCACTCACCACTGTCGTTCTCCTAGGCGATGTGAGGTCTGCTTAAGCTTGCAAAGAAGAGTGCCGCGCGGTCGTATTGGATGGGGATCGGCGAACGCAAGCCCATGATTTGCACTGGGCACCCACCCGCCGTGGGTCTGCACATCACCTCGCACCGACTGCGCAACCCGTTCACGTTGCAGACCCCGGACCCGTCAGGCCACGCATTACCGCGCATATATCCTCTTCTTCCGGCTTTCGCATTCTGACTTGAAGTAAATTCTCGCGGGCTCTCAAACAATGGCTCCAGCGATATACTTGCGCGCCAACTCCGACTCCTTCGCCCAGCAATCTGCGGCAAGCGCGCGCTCCGAGGTTACATTGCAAGATCCTGCGACATGCTCACGATGACGGAACATCGGCAATGCAGATGACTCAGAAGCACGAGAAGCTATCCTTACGGCCGATTCTGCGATGCAGCTTTCAATAGCTCCCGCCGTGGTCAAACCATTGGTCCCGCGTCAGCGCGTTTGCTAGCCCTTGGGCGTGTCATTTTCGCGATGCCAATGGGTAGCCACTGTCGCGAACCTCCCGCAGGAAAACTTAGTCTCAGGCTAGACCCACACACCTCTCCACCAAGAATACTGCGCCGTAAATCTTGGCTGACTGATGCGGCAGAAGAACGGTCAGGCGGATGATATGTATACGAAGGGCGCAGCCAGATGAACAAGGCGTAAGTGCTCGAGCAGACCATGTCTTTGTATTGATCGCTACTGTCACACAAGCCAAGACGGCTGAAGATAGACACCCTTGTTTGAAGGATGCGGTTCTGACAGGGCTGAAAGGGTCTGTCTCAAAGGGGAATGGTTAACGCTCGGTGCCCCTGACTTAAGCATCGCTTGAGCCGTAGCCGACGCCATCCCAACACCAACTCACCAATTTGTTCGGACCGGTACCCCCATTGGGATGAAACCACTGCAACCATGCAGCCATGAGAAGATTCCTGCAGGCAGCCACCGAGCGACCCGGTGTTTACACTGTCCACGGGTACCGACTGCAGATTCAGGAGGTCGATTTGGCACCAGGATCTTCTTCTTCCAACTCACCCGGGATTGCCAAACCAGCGCAAGACGCAATACCAACCCGAGCAGAGGTTGTTGGCTTTATGTGTCTATCCATACTATAGGCATGCAACAACGACGCCACCGGAAAGCTGGACCGAATGCCGTCCTGAGCCGTTCCATTATGCATCAGCAACTCTCCTTCCTTTTGCTGACGGTCGAAGGAGCACTCTCGACGGTTTAACCGAGATTGATGCTATCGATACTTAGACACGGCCCATTCACCGGTCTTGAAGCTAGTGTGAGGCATCACATGGAAGCGTTTCCAAAAGCCATGTTGATGGTTAGCGCTCGCCTAGACGCAGGTACTGCTGGACGCCCGACGACACTTCAGACCCGAAGCAGTTAGGATCCAGGCACCTCTACCAATGGCATGGAACTACGGAAGCCATCGTTCTGTTCCTGCAGGCACACGATGTCTGCCGTCTGAATCTGCACGATGGCCTCATGCCACCAAACGGCGCAGTCAGCGTCCGACCCTTCTCGCTCATGCAGGTACAGCCCTGTGGGCCAAGACTAGATATAGTGCAATCTCCCATGTCTTCTTTTCTCATCGTCAGTCGCACTGCTTTCCAGTTCGTCGTCAAGTCACTCTTTCGAGTCTACATCCTAATTGCAGCATTTTTGCTTGCGTCCTTTCGTTGAGCCCGCTCATCACGATCTTTACTGGCCCCGGCCATCCTATCATTCAAAATCGCATATTGTTGTTTATATCGTTAATACCATAATCATGTTTCCATCAACCTTCACTCGCGCTGCTTTCGCAGCTGGACTCCTTGTCTCTGGCGCTGTTGCGACTTACGACGCTGCCGCCAAGACGAACATTGCTATGTACTGGGGTCAAGGATCCAACCAGATCCCACTGATTAATGTCTGCACTGACCCGAACGTTGACATTGTTAACATCGGCTGTAAGTTATTCTGTCTTTCATCTATCGACTAGGAAGCGATGCTAACAGTTCTGGAACTAAAAGTCATCATCAAGTTCCCTACAGTGGTCGGCGCATACCCCGGAAGTAACCATGCCAACGCGTGTGGTGATGCTGTATATTACGATCCGGTCCTGAAAGAGAACAGCACTCTGTTCAGTTCCTGCCCTGGCATAGAGGAAGGCATCAATGCTTGCCACAGGAGGGGCAAGAAGGTCATGCTCTCCCTTGGAGGTGGCTGGCCTACGGACTACTACCTCAAGGACAAAGATGTCGCAGAATGGACTGCTGAGTTCCTGCTCGGTGCCTACGGCAAAGTCACACCTGAGTGGAAGGCTGCCGATATGCCGCGTCCGTTCGGCAACGCGTTTGTAGACGGCTTCGACTTCGATCTCGAAGCGCAATTCTATAACATGCCCGGAGGTGATGAGAAGTTTATCTACGCCAACTACGAACACTTCGGCAACTACGTCAAGACGCATTCGAACATGCTTCTCTCAGCTGCTCCCCAGTGTGTTGTCCCCGATGCTAGGATCTCCCCTATCATGAAGAAGTTGAAATTCGACATGATCTTCACCCAATTCTACAACACCTGGGAATGCTCTGCTGCCAAGGAGGTTGATGACAAGAAGAAGAAGCAGCCCAGCACTTTCACCTTCCAGAAGTGGATCGACGAGATCAAGGCCTCAGCGAACCCCGACGCCAAGTTCTACATTGGATTGCCTGCCGGTCCTGACGGCGTCGAGAACCATAAGGACCACTACCTCGAGCCCCTTGACGCAGACTTCTTGCTTCGATTCTACAAGAATGACCCCAGCTTTGGTGGTGTTATGCTCTGGGAGGCGACTGTGTCCGTTAGGAACCCGACATATGGCCAGTCGTACGGTACTTGGATGAAGAAGTCTCTTGAGGGTACCTTCATGAAGGATTTCCACCCGGTCGTGTCTTCCAGCACTGTGTCCTCTTCCACCGCTACCCCGACTTCGACTAAGCTATCATCCTCCAACACTCCTGTCTCGTCTACGATGGTCTCGTCTTCCACTCCCATCTCCAGCAGCGCCATGACTTCCAGCAGCGCCATGACTTCCAGCAGCGCCATGACTTCCAGCAGCGCCATGACTTCCAGCAGCGCCATGACTTCCAGCACCCATGTCTCCAGCAGCATGGTCTCCTCCAGCACTCCTACTCCCAGCAGCATGATCACTAGCAGCAGTGCTTCATCTTCGTCTGCCTACGTCACCTCGAGCTCGGCTTCCAGCAGCAGCTCTGTCCACGTTTCTTCCAGCTCATCCGTGGCGGAATCTTCTTCCGTAGCCTCCAGCTCCTCTTCCGTTCACGACGAGAGTAGCTCAGTCTACAGCGAGATGCCCACTGCCAGTGAGAGCGCCAGCTCCGTTGCTACCGTCAGCAGCACCATGATCGAGCCATCTACTATTGCTACCATCTCTGCGTCTGCCTCCAGCAGCGAATCGGTCTACGTTCCTCTCCCAACTGAGACTATCACTGCCAGTTCCGTCGAATCTGTCAGCAGCAGCATGGTCGAGTCGTCTTCCGTCCCTGAAATCACCGCCACTGTCAGCGCCAGTTCGGTATACGAGACCTCCAGCTCCGTCGAGACCGTCTCAAGCACCATCATTGAGCCGTCGTCCGTTGCCACGATCTCTGCTTCCGAGACCGCCAGCAGCTCCATCTACGTTCCTTCCCCGAGCGAGACCTCTGCTTCCAGCGAAGTGTCCTCGTCGGCCTCAAGCTCCAGCGACATGTACCCTACTGGTTCAGTCTCTGCGACCACACCCGAGGCCGCGTCTTCTACCCCATACGCGCCTTCCATGGAGTACAGCATGACATTCTCTGCCGTCTACCCATCCGAGGTCCACTCCTCTGTTGTCTACTCATCTGGTGTATACTCCACCGCATCGCCGATGTACCCCACCGACACTGTCTCTGCTACATACCCTGCTGAGAGCTCCAAGAGCTCTGTTGCATCCAGCACTGGCCACGTGAGCATCCCATCCGTAACGGAGAAGCCTGAGTACCCCGAGTCTTCGAAGGTTCCCGCCGGCTCCACCACCTCAGTCGTCACAAGTAAGTTTGCAACAAACCCGATAGCACACAGATATCACTAACATTTCCTAGCTACCTACGTCGACGTTTGCCCTACTGGCTTGACCACCGTCACCACCACCTACGTTGCGACCGTCTGCACCAAGTGCGCAAAGCCCACCGGCTCGACCGACGTACCTGAGGGCTGGACCACCAGCGTCTACACTGCCAGCACTGTCACCGTGACTATCACCAAGCCCATCGCTACCGCTACCCACGTGCCCGCATACCCATCCTCTGCTCCTTCCGTCGCATACCCTGCAGACTACCCGGCTAAGCCCGTGTCCTCAGGCAAGCCTGCATACCCTGCCGTCCCTGAGGCGTCTATGCCTGCGTACCCTGTTGCGCCTGAGGCTTCCAAGGCTGCTGAGTACCCCGCTGTTCCTGGAGCATCGATGCCCGCATACCCTGTCGCTCCTGAGGCTTCCAAGGCTGCTGAGTACCCATCCGTTCCTGAAGCTTCCAAGGGCGCTGAGTACCCATCTATGCCCGAGGCCTCCAAGGCCGCAGAGTACCCTGCCATGCCCGAGTACCCCAAGAAGCCCGTCGAGCAGGAGGCCACCAGCACGATGTACATGACCCTCACCAAGGTCGCAGTCCCTGTCTACACTCCTGCTCCTTACCCAACTGCTGGAGGTGCTCCTTACGTCCCTGCCGGCCCTGCTATGAACGGTACCAGCATGTACGCGCCTATGCCTACTGGTACTGGTAAGCCTACCATGCCCTCCCAGTACATGCCGCCTGCGGAGTTCGAGGGCGCTGCTAGCCGGGTTGGAACTGGATTCATGATGTTTGTTGGTGTTGTTGGTGCCGTTCTACTTCTCTAGGCTGAATGATTGAAGAGTGTTGTTTAGTAGTTGGATGTTTACGTTTCTCATGTCACTTCGTACGTTTGTTTAGATACCACTAGGTGTAGTTGTATGCCATGCGAGTACGCGCGATTATTCTTCCTGTTCATACTTCGTCAATATCAATTATGCCCGCCAACCTTCACAACGATGCGAGCCTAGAATATGCTAGAAACCACACGCTTCGTAGAGACAAGTGACAGCATGCGCGTCAATCCCAAGGTCTTTCGTCGTGATGAATGGATAGCGCAATATTAGAGGTATTGTTCGTGACTGTTGAGAATGTCGAGTGCTGGCCCCAGCCTTTTAATGATGCGTGGGGGACGGGTTTTGGGGATCGGCTGCGGGAGGCCGCGGGGGTGAAGCTTGGAGCTCCAAAACGTGGGTGGAGTCACCTTTCGTCATTCCCTCGCGGCCATTGAATACACGCGAACGCGCAACTTACACCAACCCCACAACCTCTTTGTCGCGATGCCAGTACAGAAGCGATTTCACTTGCGTATTGTGCCACCTGATTGAATTTACCTGCACAGCCTCACATCGTACTTGCTCAGCTGTTTCTGGGAGCATCGCCTCCGGTACCTCTTGCCTCTCGCGACTTCCTCGAGCTGCGCTTTCAAGATCCATCCAGCCTCTAGCAAACTACACAACGTGCCACGATGAAGTACACTGTATACGATCGCTTACTCAAGCGCGAAGTCGGACAGCAGCCTAGGAAATACTCAGACATTCGATCAATATACGGCGACCGCAAATGGGTGGACGACCTCGATATCGTGAACGAACTAGAAGGCCATAACGGATGTGTCAATGCTCTCAGGTATGTCATTATCCTCCTTGTACATCTGTGGCATTGTCTGACCCTACCAGCTGGTCAACCTCTGGCCGCCTCCTCGCCTCTGGCTCCGACGACCATCGCATCAACATCCACTCGTACCACCCCGAATCGTCGACGTCGCAGTTCAATCTCACCACCTCAATCCAGACAGGACATAGGTCCAACATCTTCTCCGTGAAGTTCATGCCCTACTCCAACGATCGCACAATTGTCAGCGCGACAGACGATGTACGGATATTCGATATCGAGCATTCAGGCCACTCCGCCCTCCGATCTACAGGCAATGCGGGCAGTACAGGCAGAGCACGCCGTAGACTGACGCTCACAGAAGGGGATACCAACGCGAAAGCATTCCGTTGCCACGCCGACACGGTAAAGCGGATCGTCACTGAAGACAACCCCTTCTATTTCCTGACGTGCTCGAACGATGGAGAGGTACGACAATGGGATGTACGGCAACCCTCTAAGGCGTATCCACCTCCGCGAGACACCATGCTGCCCGCATGGGCGAGAGATGAAGACGCCTCAGACAGCATCCCGCCGCCACTCATCTCATATGCTCGGTATGGACTGGATCTCAATACAGTGTCGTGCTCGCCTAGTCAGCCGCACTACATCGCGTTGGGTGGGGCACATCTCCATTGCTTCTTGCATGACCGCCGGATGCTTGGCCGCGATTTAAACAACGAGCGTGGATCTAGGCTTTCGAGTCCAGAAAATTGGAACGATAATGACGATGAGCTATTAGGGAAGGCGACGCAATGTGTGAAGAAGTTTGCGCCCAACGGAAAGCAGCGCATGAAGAGAAACGATGGTGGCCACATCACAGCATGCAAAATCAGTGATGCGGAGCCGAATGAGCTCGTTGTGAGCTGGTCTCAGGATCACATCTACAGTTTTGATATTCTACGGGCGCCAGATGCTAGAGAGAACGTGACGCCCATCAAGACATCGAATAGTGCATCTGGCCATCGCGTCAAGGACACGAACAGGAAACGCAAGCGACCGAAGTCTAGTACCTTGTCCCAAGAAGGCGTCGAGAGAGCCGAGTCGAGACAACGTACCGAGAGTGCCGATGAGGATCTGGCACTGCGAGTGACATATGGAAATGGCCAGAGCGAAGACATCCGCATTCATCCTCCTGCTGAGAACCGCATGACCCAGGAGGAGTTGAATGATCTGCGAGCATCAGACCATTACCGCATTGCAAGTACAACCGTCAAGATAGCGAAACGAATTTTCGAGCTAGGTGAGCTTGGAGAGTCTGGCATCCATCTCGCATGCACGTCCATTGTAGGTCTAGCGAACTCGATCTTGCCCGATATGGACGACATCGATAGGACGTGGGGCTACCCCATCGATCCAGATCCTGTGGACGTCGCAGTACAAAACAAGCTTCGCGATAGTAGGGCAGCGTCTCGTCGGTTCGTTCAAGCAGCCGGGACATTAGCACGGGTGCTAGGTGGACAACTCTTGACTGGATCCAGCTCTGATGCCTTGATCGCGCAGTATTTCGCTTCAATACAACCGGCGCCTCGTGAGCGCGATCCACCACAACACGAGCAATTTGGATACGACTTTCTGAAAGCCATACTGTTATGGATCGATAGTGGCCCTGGAGCAGTCGTGGAAGGATTTTCGAGCCGAAGTGGTAGTACTCGCTTCCCCATCCCCCATGGTTCGGATATGGATGCCATTCAAGAACGACTGATCCCATATCTGATCGAATTGGCAGACGACACCAAAATCATCAATGTCGATGCCTCCAAATATGAAACAGATAGCACTCGAGTCTTGTACGACTCTGAGTTTGAGGCTGTTGATGCGTTCGGCCATGCAATCACGATACCATTTGCGGATCTCACCGGCGAGACTGAGTCCACATCGGAGTCGGCGTTTTCTAGCGAGCCCACACAAACCCGAGCTACGGCAAAACGAAGATGGGTGTACTATGTTGGTAGGGGTGTTTTGCGCAATGCCGCCAAGGACATCAAGTTCGCTTTCGTAGACCGCGCTTACGGCGGCCAGGGTATATCCGACAAGACGATCAGAGCTGAAGAGAAAGCGTTGAGAGAGAAGCAGGATGATATCGATCCCTCGGTAGACGAAGGTCCGGTCCGCGATGCAGAACTTATCAGCACATCAACACGAGAGGGAGGCGATCAGGAAGAGGCTGCCTCGAGCTCTGCTCATGTGGACGAATCGGCTTCCGTGGCTATTGAGAGTGCCGATGAAGAGAACGAAGACGGGGATGAAGAAGAAGACGACGATGATGACGATGATGATGATGAAGACAGTGATGGTGACATAGAATCGGATGATGGAGAAGAAGAGGACGACACTGACGACGAAGACGAAGAAGGCTTATCACGCACAAGATCTGGAAATATGTTATGGCGATCAGACTTTGGCCGCAGTCGCTACGGGCGATGGAAGGTGGAGCGCGATGTACCTTGTGTGCCTCATACACGTGTCTACACTGGACATTGCAACGCCAGGACAGTCAAAGACGTCAATTTCTTCGGACTGCAGGATGAGTATGTGGTCAGTGGAAGCGACTCTGGCCACGTGTTCATCTGGGATCGCAAGACAGCGGAACTTGTAAACATCCTGGAGGGAGATGGAGAGGTGGTCAACGTCATTCAAGGTAAGTCTAAGTACAACTATACGAAAATGGCGACTCGGGCTCTAACATGATCAGGTCACCCTTATGAACCTACAATGGCGGTTTCCGGTATCGACCACACTATCAAAATCTTCTCTCCAGATGCGCAGCTCCAGCGTAACGCACGAAAAGGTGTCGGAGTGCATTCGTCCGATCCGGCTGCTTTCTCCAGTCTGAACTTCGGTCGTTGCCGTCGCAACCGCGCTGCCGAACCTGAGGCTGAAAGTGAGCCTGCCGTCGATGCCCCTAGCGACAGTGACGATGAGGTTGCCCCCGGAGGACTCAGCAGTCGACGAAGGATGCACCAAGCTTATCAGATTACGAGTCAGAACGACATGGACAGGAAGGGTGGAAGAGATGACTACTTTATCAGCCAGGCTGTCTTCGCGCAATTGGCTCGGCATATTGCCCGTGGGCAGGGTGCTGGTGGTGGAGGTGATGAGGAAGGGGAGGGTGGTGGACCAGTTGTCATCACAGAAGAGAACTGCAATGTCATGTAGGCAAGACTGAACATCTGAACGACTTCATTATGTCTCTCGGCTCTTCAGCTACCGATCCAATTATATTGACGCAACTTAAATATGCTTGCGCCGCTCCAAGCTGACCCCTTTTGTCGAAAATTATTACCCGGACCCAATGCCGTAAGCGTTTATGAGGCCTTCTTCTGCTTGGCCTTGAGTGCCTTCTTTCGATTGCTCCTGATCATAACCACTGAGAGGAAGCTGCCGACGACCGTAGTGCCCAGAATGAGGAGGATGACGGGGATGCGGATGGCCCAGACGCGTGGGAGGAAGAGGGAGTGGAGGATGTGATCGTCGTCTACAAAGGGCTTTATAGAGTCAGTATGTGTACCAATACCAAGTGATCGTACAAAAGCATACCATGAACAGAGTCCAGACAGTGTAGTAGACGAAGATGGCAGTCGCTGCAACGAGCATGCTGAGGCCTACGAGGCGATCGGCCTGTGATGGTTGGTCAGTGCACAGCCATGAATGCTACACGTGTGAGGGCATACCATTGTGAAGTTTGGCGAGAGAGTGAACGAGTGTATTAGCTTGGAGTAATGGTGGTTACAATCACCTCGCTGGCCCTTCCCCCCAAAGTCGCGCCAAGCCAAGACCCCTGTCGGCGAAACCGCGGCCCGTTCGCCGCAACCTTCGATCGCCCAACCGCCTGTAAGCTAAACTTTTGCGAAGCGCGTCACTCTCCGCCTCAACACTCGCCATCCTCCACCTCCAACACGACCCACTGCGCGACGATGGAGGTCGCATCAGCCGTTCGCCTGCCCTCACCGGAGCCCGAGATCGACGCCCACGAGGTTCCGCGCAAACGCGAGCGCTCCCCATACGATGGACCGAGTGCTGGGCCATCAAAGCGAAGCAGGAGGGACGAAGAGGAGGACGACCGTCGCAATGGCGGTATTGGCCGTCGCCCGCCGCCAAAGCCTACGACCAACGACCTTCCCGATGACGACTCGCGGTTGAAGCTTTTCCAGAATGCCTTCAGCGCGAACCGTAAGCTGCCCGTTGACGACTCAAAGACACGTGCTGGAGGCGCGTACATCCCGCCGGCGCGCCTGCGCGAGATGCAGAAGTCGATTACGGATAAGAGCAGCCCCGAGTTCCAGCGCATGGCTTGGGAGGCGCTCAAGAAGTCGATCCAGGGTTTGATCAACAAGACGAATACGGCGAATATCAAGATGATTGTGCCGGAGCTGTTCTCGGAGAACCTGGTGCGCGGACGTGGGCTGTTCTGCAGAGCTATCATGAAGGCGCAAGCGGCGAGTTTGCCTTTTACGCCCATCTATGCGGCTATGGTCTCTATTGTCAATACGAAGCTGCCTCAAGTTGGCGATCTGCTGGTTCGGCGCCTGATTGTGCAGTTCAGGAAGGGTTTCAGGAGGAACGACAAGGCCGTGGCGCTCTCGAGTACCATGTTCCTTTCGCACCTCGTCAACACGCAAGTCGTCCACGAGATCTTGATCGCCGAGATCCTGCTCCTCTTGCTGAACAAGCCCTCTGACGACTCTGTTGAGATCGCCGTCGGTATCATGAAAGAGGTCGGCGCTTTCCTCGACGAGATGAAGCCTGCGATCGCGAATGCCATCTTCGACCAGATGCGCAACATCCTCCACGAAGCCGACATCGACAAGCGCACACAATACATGATTGAGGTTCTTTTCGAGGTCCGACGCACAAAGTACAAGGACAACCCGGTTATCAGGGAGGACTTGGACCTGGTAGAGGAGGAGGATCAGATCACCCACAACCACACGCTCGAGGGCGATTTGAAGGTTGAGGATGGTCTCAACCTCTTCAAGGTCGATCCCGACTACGAAGCGCACGAGGTAGAGTACGCGAAGATCAAGGCAGAGATTCTAGGTGAAGAGGAGGGTAGCGATGACGATGGATACACGGATGCCTCATCTGAGGATGAGGAGGACGAGGAGGTGAAGGCCATGGACGTCAAGGATCAGACCAACGCGGATCTCGTTAACCTGCGAAGAACGATCTACTTGACCATCAAGAGCAGTGGTGGATTTGAGGAGTGCGTGCACAAACTCATGCGCATCAATCTGCCGCATGGCTTGGAAAACGAGCTCACCACGATGATCGTCGAGTGCGCCAGCCAGGAGCGCACATACGAGAAGTTCTACGGCATGATTGGAGAGCGCTTCTGCAAGCTGAACAGGATGTGGACCGACCTTTTCGAGGAAGCATTCGCGCACTACTACGAGACTATCCACCGCTTCGAAACGAACCGCCTTCGTATCATCGCACAGTTCTTCGCGCATCTGCTAGCATCCGACGGTATCGGCTGGCACGTCTTCCAGGTGGTCAAAATGACGGAAGAAGACACCACCTCTAGTTCGCGTATCTTCGTCAAGATCTTGTTCGAAGAGCTGCTGGCTTCTCTCGGGCAGAAGGTCGTTGTGGAGCGCTTCAAGGACCCCATGCTACAAGACAGCCTTACTGGACTCTTCCCCACCGATGCCGACGACCAGAGCAAGACCCGCTTCTCCATCAACTACTTCACCGCGATCGGTATGGGTGTGCTTACTGAAGGCATGCGCGACTGGCTCAAGAACGCTGCGCCCAAGCCGAAACCGCTGCCCGAGCCAGAGAGCGACTCCGACGACGACCGCAGCGTTTCGTCAAGATCAAGCTACAGTTCGAGCAGCTACTCACGCTCCCGGAGCCCGGTTCGCACAAGGCGCGACTCAAGATCCAGGTCCAGATCCGACTCTAGAGGACGTTCGTACACACGCAGCCCTACGCCAGCCCGCAAACGTGGAGGCCGCGGTAGAAGCGACTCCTACAGCTCCGCATCCCGCTCTCGGTCTCGCTCCCCGGCACCACGCAAACTCAAGAGCAAGCGCTCCTACTCAACCTCCCTCTCTCGATCACGCTCCCCCGCGCCCAGGAGACGCGGTCGCAGTCCCTCGTCCTCCCGATCCCGTTCTCCGCCCCCGAAAGCCAAGTCAACACGCCGCGGACGTAGCCCATCCGGCTCGCTGTCCCGCTCTCCGCCTCCGCGCCGCCGGAAGTACACTTCATCCCCTTCGCGTTCGCCATCCCCGCCACCGCGCCGTCGTGGTCGTGATTCTAGCACTCCGCCGCCCCGGCGTAGACGTGGCTCGAGCAGTGCCCCGCCATCGAAGGGGAAAGGCAAAGCGAGGGCGGATAGTCGTAGTCCACCTCCGCGTCGCAGTCGCAGGAGGGATGATAGTACCCCGCCGCCACCGTCGAAGGCTAATGGGAAGGCGAGGGAGGTTGATGCTAGCCCGCCGCCGAGGATGAAGAGAGACGATAGTGGGAGTCCGGCACCGAGGGTGAAGAGGGATGGTAGTAGTCCGCCGTCGAGGAGACGGAGGGATTCGTAGGTGAAGTTGAAACGGACTTGACAGCATCGTGGGGTTATGGGAATTGGCGTTACATCGTTTGTGAAGACAGAGATTGAATGGAATGGTAGCATTGCGTTTTGTCTGAAAGCATAATCGCGATGATTGGGTGAGAGTGGTATGTGGGATAGTCTCAGCGTCAGTAGACATTTACATAGCTACATCAAAACAGGATATTACCTCACGATAAGAGCCTCTCCTTCCGCCTGTAATCGCATTTCTCGTCACTAGCTCAGCTCTTCCACACAAACCCCGAAACCCTTCAACTTCTCAATTCCTCACACCCTCAGATCAATCCCCAAGCCGAGAACTACGTTCAGGCCTCACCGCAGTACTTGCCGAAGTAAACACCATCAGCACAGCCGCGTAAGAAGCCGTACGGCTGCAGTCGCATGCATGGAAGCTGGACATCATATTGAACGGATCGACAGAGGCGCTGGCTTGCCGGATGTTCGTTGGTTGCTCTGCCGTGATCTCATACTTCGCGTTCACCGGTCATCGTGCTAGCGTCATTCCTATGGCATGTGGCTGGCGCTCATCGCTTACGTGCTTTGGAGGCGTCCAATTGGGTTTATACACAACACAACCGGTCGCAGAACGCTAGTGCTAAGAGGAGAAGGACCTTTCCAAGGTTCTGCTGTGCGACAAGAACGATCACACCTGATTATATTGAGCCGGTCGAGGTCGTAGTGACCGCTGCCTGCGCGAGTGAACCTACGTTTTACTTCCTGGGTGAAACTAGGTCGAATTTACTCTGTTTATGGTTCTGGAGGACATTCTACACCAGCGTTGAAGTTGCGACGTGATCGTTCGAGTACGGACTACCCAGGTGTCGTACTGTGACGTACCTTTGGAAGACGAGGAGGAAAGAACACACATCAGAAGTCATGCCGATCGTCAGCGTATACACTGTTAGTGACATCAGTCTCTTCTTGTTTATCGCGTTACGTAGTTGTCCAGATACTAACTGGCAATCAGGGTTTCAAGTTCCGAGTTAATGAAAGCGTTTACATCAAGAATACCACCACCCAAAGCCTTCGTGGGCCTTACCTAATTTCCGAAACTCACGATGGTCCGAAATACACGCTCGAAGATGTCAAAGGAGACTTGGCAGCAGGCGGAAAGAAGTTCGATGAACACGAGTTGGAGCACGCTGGCCTGGATTTTCATGAACACAAGCTGGAAATCAACAAACAAGAGTCAGAGACCACTGATCACGAGTCGGAAAGGATCCGCAAAGGAGAGTTGCAAATTGTCGAATCTGGTTTGACTCCCGCTGTAGAAGAGTTGGATTTCGATGAAACTGAGCCGCATCTTAAAGACCATATATCACCAAATACTTTGCGAGACGACGTCATAGACTCCCTTGGCGACATGAGCAGTCAGAAACAGCCACCAATGTCTGATGATATCGATCAAACTCAGGATAGAAGTGCGACCACGTCGGATACATCTATCCCTGGTAATTCGAGTGGTAGGATTCCCGCCGGAAATATTGCGCACGTCGACAGTCAAGATATGTACTCAACGGCCTCCGTTAGAGAAGATACAGAGAAAGATCTCATCGAACGATTTACCCGTCGCTTGGTGGCCGATTTGACAAGCACAGCCATTCTTGAACGCGTAGCCAGTATTCCATTACCGGAACTCGAAGCCTTACTGAAAGCATTTGCGGGGCGACTTCACGAGGAGTCTACAGCTCCGTTTGGATGGAAAGCATCCGTAGATCTATGTCGGGAGAGCGGGTGAGTTCTGAGACCATGCCCAAAGTCGATAACTTACAATCTTCTCGGATAGTTACTAGTAATTCATGAGCTTACACATACTTTGCAGAACGATCATCAACGCTATTACATGGATCGAGCCTCTGATTAGAGATGAACCGAAGGAACCGTCAGCGGAAGAAGACTCACCGGAGGATACTCCGACACGTGATTCATTCTTCGAGGATCAAAGCAATGTCAGCGACGGGCCAGATGCCGCAGAACTATCGCGATTCGACCATGATCCAGGCGCGCAGGTAATCCCACCCGGCTCAAAGAGCTACAAAGAGTTCATATCGGAATCACAAGCGTATCGTTGGCTTCTTTTGAAGCTACAAACCGAAGCAGAAGTCCACTATCCCGGTCAACACACTAAATGTGATATCGGCCAAAAGATACTTAACGAATCTCTTCAATCGATGACCAGTCAGAGACCAATGCCAGCCGTTCATATGAGTATTGTTGTCGATTGGGAGCTGGCAAATTACATCAAGTCGCTACACCTGTCGCTCTCTGAAGACATTTGGGATCATGTACTGTGTTTGACGGGGTCAGACAGTGATCTTCAAGCTGTCACTGTGGCCACATATCTACGTATGACATGGCCACTCACGGGTGAACGTCTGGGAGGTATGCTGCTGAAGCTCTTGCAATGCCAGTCAGATCGTGCATGCTCATGTATGTATTGCCTAAACTCCTGCGTCTCGTATACTGATGCAGGGCAGACGAACTCTCGTCCACACTCTTTGTTGAGTTTAATATCATTTCCACTGGTCACTGGCAAATATGGGTTCATGGCGGCCCATACACGGTGTCTGAGTTCGCAGAACAGATCGCATGGCTAGCAACCACGTTACGGCTGTCGCCAAAACAGGAAACACTGGTGGTGCTGTCACCGCAACTGTCGATCTTGCCAAGAGAAACACCAAACGAACAAGACATAAAGGAAGTTACGATATGGAGTGAGCTCGCGTTCAACATCAATGACAACGATAACACAGGCACTTCGAGTGAAGGCACTTGCTGGACTCAGTTGTTTACGAACCCTGTCTTGGTCAGCGGCTATCCTATCCTCCGAAAGTTTACACCAGCTGCTGGTCTTGAGACATCATTGGACATCATGGCGGGCCTTGTGAAAGCCCACCAGGTAGTTAGTCTCGAGAACAGAATTGTGATGAAAGGCTTCAGTTCATTAGTAGTTGCTTCTGCAATTGATGGCGCTTTCATACGGTGGCATGTTTTCACAAGCGGGAAACTCGGCGAACGCATATCTTATTTCGACCCTCGGGTAGAGAAGTCGGTTACAAACGAGGCTAACGTGCCTCTGATCAGCTCATTGAGTAGCTTTCGTCACATCATAGGATGGTGCTCAAAAGTGACAAGCTTTTGTGGTAAGTTGGGCGCCGGCGGTGCGGTTCATCTCCCAAAACGATTTTGACATTTGATTAGGACATCCTCAGGCTACGCTCGACGTTTTAGCATCTGGTTCCAATCCATCCCCTGCGCACAGCGTCATCGAACGTGGATACATTGAATTCGGTAATTATGTCATAGCCGGACTGAGCGGTCAATTCAATCAGCACGAGCCACCAGTGTCTTCTGGACGAATGTATGATTATCCTGAGCTACTTGATTGGGTTACTCAACAGTTTGTGGTGTTTTACGACGTAAAAGACCATCGGGCTTGGCTAGTAGACGGAGCTTCTGCACTACTCCACCTCGTGCGAATCTCTTTGTATCTAGACAAGACCGAACTCAAGCTCACACATGACTGGGTGTACGAGGAAGACAAGCTGAAAGAAGACTGGGAAAGCTGCAGTGGACGCGATGCAGCGATGTCAACACTGAAGAAGTGGAAAAACCGAGACTTGAACGTATACGTTAGAAACCAGACCTTCTACGAAAACGGCCAGCCTGTCAACGAGTTCTCTAAGTTCGGAAACAGAGTGGACAGGATAATACATACGCTTGAGCTTGTCATCGAACACCAAAACCGGGTGAAAGACGGGATAGAAGTCCCTCATACTGTCGATACTCGGAAAGGCATCGTGGGCTTCGATATCCGAGACATTATCAAATCCCATCGTAAGTTCCGCTCTCGCGTTGAGCGTATTAGCTCACCGGATAAGGGTTGGGTCGATCTTCTGCCTGCTTTAGGCATACTTACGATACTTGGGAATAATTTCGGAGACGTCCTATGCCCTTCCGATCCTGATGCATGTTGCTCTGCATGGCGATCTGTTCCTAAGGATCAGAATTATCTGGCGGCTTCCGTTTCAACGCTTGCACTGTTGCTAGAGCACCTACAGCAGTCGAGTCCTGAGTTGGGCATTGGAGAATTCACGTCCGAGCTTTCTTGGAGGTCACCTTGCAAGCCTTTCGAGTCTTGCCAGTGCATCAAGGGCAAGCACGTCGAAGGATCAGCTCATCACGACCCGGGCCAATACATTGTGTCCAGTTCGCGGTGGCATCAGATTAGGCTGAAAGAGGCGAAGCCTTGTGATGTTTCACTTTTGGAAGGAACCGGCGCTGTTGTATTCGCCAACCTCACAAGTCTGGGTAGTCGCCCTAAAGCTCATAATGTAGAGGCGACTGCGAACGCTCCCCAAGCACCCTCGGCGGGCCTTGTGACGAACGGAAACCACCAGAGCTCACCAGAGCTCACCAGACCCAGCTAGCCAGTCGACCACAGATCAATCGTTAGGCTCGACGGATCCAACAGAAACAAGCCTACAGGTTGCGGGCCCCGCATTGAACAGCGGCGATGAAAGCTTGCCAGTATCAGCTAGCCAGCCGGCCTCAGCTCAGTCATCGAGATCCATGAAACCAACGCAAGCAAGTATACGGAACGCAGGCTCAACCAGCTCTGGAGATCAGACTAGGACTCATAAAGACCAGGGTACATTCGCCAGGCTGAGAGAAAAGTGCAAGGGTAAATGGACACGAATAACGTTTGATCTGGCTCGAAAACGCGCAAACACCTGACCTAACTGACCATGGTTTCGGAACAAAAGACGCCAATGTTTGCCTCAAGGAGTCAGGATGGTTCTTGAAACCGTAAGGTGAAGTGAACGATGTCATGTAGCACAACATTAAAATCTCATAGTCGCTCTCTTCGAATAGTGGGGATCATGTTGAAAATGCTCGGCTCTTTGTGTTTGAAGTATCCGTTAGACAAGCGGTCTGGTCCGGGTCGTGTCGAAAATCTGCATTGTGTTGAGATTGCGGATGTTTCCGATGACGTAATTGCCGCCAGTAGGATGCGGTGTCTTCCTGATCACAGAAGCGTAAGGTCTGTGTACTGTCGCAGCTCAAAGATGATGTGAAATGTTAAGGTGATGCATGTGCGCGACAAAATCCAAAGGATGGCGGCCGGCGGTGTGGAGCGAAGTGAAGATGAAGCATCGCAATTGCTGTTTGTGGACGTGCAAAAAGGGGACTACCGACAGGGATTATCGATAGCGAGGCAACAACGATGCGGTTGTTCGGAACAACAAAGTCTTGCGACTTCAATCCTATTGCTCCTCTTTCAATGCGTCTCTTGCGATTGTCGCTCTCACATAATACGACACTTGTTTGCAGAAGCGTCAAAGGGCGACGCGCGCTCGTTGTAGACGTGACATCTCCGCAGTCGCGTCTTTGTCTCCATCACCCTCTGTTTACTCACTCCACCACGACTACAATCAGTGCGCTCCCACATATATGAGTCAAATATAACTGTGCACGCATTCGTTACTTGTCGACTTCGCGAACTTCACGTCGACGCCTTGTCAATCGAACGCGCTTACTCCGGCGACTCAACACCTTCGTAACTCAACGCCACCCGGATGGCCACCAAATACGACTCTGTAAAGTGCAAATCATGCGCTAGAGTCCTCGCTGTGGTATCAGCCACTGGGCTTGTACCTACGACCTCGCCTAATGCCTCCCATGCAGGATGCAGCACATGTCAGCGATTTGACTCTCTGTATGACGCGATTAGAGAAGCCGATACTGAATGGACTGTACTCGAAAACAAGCGCGACTCAATTAGTAAATCATTCGCGCGAGACAACCACAAGCGGGCTCATATGGAGTTCGATAACTGGTTAATGACCGTTGAAGCACCAGGACCAGCAAGAGACGCGCAAAGTGAACACCCCGAGGACAAGGACCATGGAGGAGGGGACTTTATCAACGACGACAAACAAGATATAGCTGGTCCCAAGCGTCGAAGATCACACTCGCCTACTACCCAGCGGTCTGGAGAATCATCCGATACAGCACCACATGGACAGCAAGGCATGTCGCTGTCTCTCAGGCCATCGCCTAAACGATCGCACAGCTCATCAGCCTCGATATCACGCAAGCGACTCAAATTTTCCGATTCAGTCGAGTTCCATGAGAATTACAGGACCAGTGAGCAGTATCACCGACCGAGCGAAACGTACGCGCGAGGGAGAAATGCGCCGCCTGAGGGTTCCGAGTACATGGACACTAGTGGATCGGGTCTGACCTTCCTGAAGTTCACCGGTATGAAGAAAGTTGGCGCCAAATGGGTTGAGCTGAGCGAGGAAGAGCTTGCAAAGCAGAGCGAAAAAGCAAAGACTTGGGCACAGCTGCGGAAACTCGCAACTGCAGGGAAACCGCAAGCTGATACACCGGAGGCCGATGCAGAAGTAGAGGTGAGGCAGGATGACGATGCTCCTCAAGATGCTCGTGCAGCAAGACTTGCACGAAGAGCTAAGGGAACAAGCGCGGAATCAGTGCAAGCTCGGGGCACGACAAGTAGACGGGGCCGGGGCACCCTGCGAAAAGGGAAACAACCATCGCTTGTCAGTGCAGTGGATGATGTCCCAGAGACTGCGTGTGACTCTACCCTCGTCTCGAATACCACAACAACAACACATGGAAATGATCATCATTCGGACGGAGATCTAGGTCGGGTGGAGATCATCGCATCTGGAGACGACGGTCTGGAGCGAAGACATGACGCTGTTCCCAGAACAGAAACCACAGCGGCAATGTGCGCCGATCAAGTACGAGACCCAGCCACACCCCACGAGGAGCCCCACAAGGATATGCAAGTGACTAGCGAGGCAATGTGCCAGAGTATTGCAGCTCAGCCAAACACCGGTAGTGTGGAGTCTCAACCAACAGTCGTATCTGGATACGACCAATCGCAACTCGAGCCAAGGAAGAATGCCTTATGCACAGATCATGATGCACCGGAAATTGAGATACCTGAGGCGTCGTCTGGGTCTCGAGTTCTGCGACCGACCTCAGGTAACCTTGAGGATACCGGCATCGCAAGTACGCGAGACCTAGACCATCTCTCAGATGCTCGCCCCAATTTTGAGAAAATTCCGGTGCGAAAGGAGGATGCTGTGCGCGATGACCCTGGAGTGTCAACTCAAAACACGCCTACTGCTGCAGAGAAGGCTATCGCGACAGGAACATCTCTGCAACAGCCATCCGCGGAGCGTGAAGACCTCGTCACGGAGCTGAACACGTCTACATCAGCTGACAACAAGCTCCAAGTGCAGGGTCACTCCAATGTGGACATCGCTAGCGCCACGATACCGCAAGACCCTGATCGCCCTCCTGCAGCCAGAATGCCCACAGAAGAAGCGTAGATCCTCGCAGGGGGGCATGATCGACGAAGCTGGAGACGCTGCGAGTCAATATCTAGGTTAAAGATGCGTCCCACAGAAGGATCCAGCCTCTCTCGTGGCCGTAGAATAACAGAGTAGGGATGGCAGAGGTGGCCTCGTTTGAGCAGGGCCCTTATGTGGGTACTACAGCGTGATTAGCGGCGAGTCCGTGGCGGACACTTGCCGCCGGTCCACAGTTCGGCGTACATGCCGTGCCGCAAGCGCCGCAACTCTTGTGTATGATAGCAGTAATAATTGTCGGTCTGTATACGCCGATGCCTATGCGATTCCTCTGATGGTGTCCTCAAAATGCCATGTGTGTCTGTGCGTTGACCACACGAGAGCGATACTGGTACTGTCACTTGTACTTCCATGGAACAGGTGAGGGGGAGGAGCATCATCATGACTCCGCTCCATCGAATGGCTCCTCTAACGCAGCTTCTAACGCATCTTCTATTCCTTCTCGAATGCAGCTAGAGCGCTGTGCTAGAAAACAGCAAAGGACGAGCTAGGTTCTGTGCCCTTCCCGTGGGACCATTACGTCGCATTCGTCTCGAATGTCGCATTCAGGAACATGATGTATTCGAGGAAGACCCACCACCTATGGCCTCAGCTGCACCTCTACCTGACCCAAGCCTCATCCAGAAAACAATTCTCCTTCTCCCAGCGTACGGGATAACGCTATGCCTTTTCGTATCGTGGCGACAACAATTTTCCTCACCGATCAATGCGCAAGTGGAGCGATGACATGGCCCAAAGAAGAAGGATTGATTGCGGCGGAAGGGCCGTTCCAGCTCTGCCGGTGTGCGTAGCCGTAAAACGTACGACTTTTCTTCTTTGTGTATGCTGCGAGATTGCCGATACCCGGTGTTGGCTTAGATCTAAGGTATGGTGTTGATCAATGCTTGGTACTTCAGGCGGCAACTAGCCTTTTTGGGCAGTACATGGGCGGGCTATCACGATGTGGTGATGTGATGTTGTATGTTTTGCGACTGGGTTGAAGAATGAGATTGCGAGAATGATAGAAATTCTCGTAGGGACTTGGAACTGATAGCGAGAGTGAGATGTGAGAATGCGCATTGTTGCATCTTCTTGCGGCTTGAGCTCTGAAACCTTCTGCATCCTACTCTTGCTTGCTTTTTTTGGGTCAGATAACTCCTACGTCGAAGTGACGTTGAAGGCCTAGTCTTGGGGAGAGGACTTGAAGACAGAGATAGTACGAGGCTAGAAGCTGCTACGAAGTACCTAAATTGTGTTCGACAGACTTGAGTGTAGGATTAGGAGTAGAACCTCCTCTTCAGTTTCGGTGTAGCAGTTTTCGGATTCGGGTTCGCATACGTCTTCTCAGCCTTGCCCGCCTTGCTCTTGCCCTACCTAGATCTTCTCGAAGTATGGCAACACATACTGGACACGACACTATCCAACGCCTTCAAATCCAACCTCAACCCTTTGAGAACTTCTCTTGCTTCATGGGTGCGAAGCTCCAATAACCTTAAAGATCCCCATTCCGCCGAACGGCTCGTCGAACTTCGGCAGCGTCCAGCCGCTCGACCGCTGCCGCCTCGCAATATTTTCGGCATCGGCCTGAGACCGGCATATACCGTTATACCAGCTCAACGTCTTCATCATGGCGACAGGAACTGCGCTGCAGCCCAAGGATTGCAAAACGAAAGCTGCACGTGGGGAGCTGCGGAATTCCTTGCAGTGACGTCATGGGACCCCTCGCATCCATGGATGGATCTCACCAACGTCGACAGGGTTATCGTGTGACCGTCTCGTCAATACTTTCCAGGTATCAAGCGGCGCGATTTACCTTTGCACCCACATCCCACGTCTCAGATACCGGGGGAGGGGATGTTTTCCCTCGAGGGTGAAGATTGCCCCCCTCAAGGTTCGGTCTTACTAGAGTATGTCATGCATGCCCACGGTTGATTCCGTGACAACGGCGAAAACACTATGAGCCCGCGACATTCCACCCACTCCCCTACCCCGGCCCGGTTCCAAGCACATGTCAACAGGACAAAACATTTTTGGCTGACGCACGCACGGTCCTCCGGTTCCATCGTTCCGTCGGATAGATCTTTCCAACCAGCTAACTGGGATTCAGGGACCCGCCAATTTACTTACCGCGACCCCAAGATCAACACCCCTCATCAAATCATCGATTTGCGATGACATCGCCACCCCAGTCGCAGACTCAGACCGAGGTTGGCCGCTCTCTCTGCCAACAAGGTCGGCGATAACAGCTTGCGGTTGATACGAAACGACCTCAGCCTGCCCGCGAAGGTGTAATGGATATTGGCAGTCGGCTAAATCGGAAGCAGGTAGCCGTTAGCGCGACAACGTGTTTCTCAACACCACCAGGGCAAGCGGGATGTGGAGGGGTGGCTGGTAAAGCTCAGACCGGCTACCGTGGCCGTCGTATCGCACGCTGTCGACAGCGCCCAGCGTTGCGGCGGTCAGTGAAAGCGAGAGCTGAGGCAAGATGCGACATGAACCGAGGCGCTCAACAGCATACTTTGATCCGCGTACACAGCCTCGTGTCTAGTTCTCAAAGGCCATTCGGTTTCCAGACTGCATTTTGAATTCGACTATCGGCAAATGCCTGCATGGGCCATCGAGATGCCGTGGGGGATTGCAAAAGCTGGTATCGGCGATGGATCGGCAGCAAGCATAGTGAGTACTCTGGAGCAAGTGCAACTATCAATTGCTTGGACAATGTCTTAGCTCGAGCCCAACCACGAGGTATGCACGTTGCCATGCATCAAACTATCTCGTGCATTCTTCCACATACGGCCTAACAGGGTGCTGAGACACCTTGCGCGAGCGTCTTGACCTACTGTTCCGTTGGCCGAGCTAGAGATTACTAGCGGATTGAAACTCCTGTCACACTTTGGAACGAAGTTTACGCAAGATTATTCGAGACATATCACAGGACTAGGATGCGATGGCTATTTCGGCTGTACAGAGGTCCGCAAACAATCATCTCAAAGCTCAAAGCAGTAGATCCATACGTCATAATCAGACCACAAATCTCACACCTACTTTACGCGTGTTGCGTTCCATCGCCCAACTCACGGCAAAACCCCGGAGCCGCAGGTGCTGGCCCCCAAAAGGGGAATCCGGTGATCCCTACACCATCAGCCTGCCCGCGCACTAACGAAATGCATGAAAACCTGCAGTAGCGTGCACTACGCGCCGTTAAGCCTCACTAACCTGCAGCAGGAAATCTTCGAGAAGCCCTTGTATCCTATCCTTCGCTTATCCATGGTTTTCATGGCTACGCCATCGTGCATAGTGGGAGCGGTGTCTTGCTTGCATGTGCATAGGTGCCGTAGCTGCAGCTTTAAGATTAGGAGACCTGGGAGACGCAGCCACCGTCCGGTCAGGTCAAACATCGACCAGCTAGCGTAGTCACAGCGTTGCGGTGTACAAGATGCATAATCTTCACGCTGTAAACGCGCCGTGGGACGCCCACAGTGCTCGTCGGCCATACTTTACACAGCGAAGGATTCAAGGTGCATGAGAGTGATGTCATGGAGGCAGTTCCCGCTCGCCAGCCAGCAAACGCGTGCATATTCAAGGCGTGGAGTTATTGTGCATCATCAGACTACCAAGCATCCTCCACAAAAGCACCCCGCCAAGACACCGAGCAGGGATACCCTGATGCTAAAGCCCCGACTCGTTACGAGGCACGCACGCACCTCGTCTGTTCCCGTCCCAGGCGTTTCCTCTAGGGACCAAACTCTAAACCACGTTTCTCTATTCGCCGAGAGAATATCACCAGAGAACGCGTCCGAAGCGATCAGCGACGCCTGCCACCAACCTCACAATTACGTGTCTTGTGACAGCAACCGCATCACGGATTGCCTAACAAGGTGACGGATAAGGTGACCTGTGATATAACGATCTTCGTTGCGCCGAAGCACCGCCACATAGGACCGCGGGCAAAGTCTCCGATTAGCAAATTGGAGCACAACAACCATGGGTGTCTCAGACATTGCCAAGGTATAGCACGCATGTATTCAGGCGTGCGTCATACATCGCCAATCCATGCTCGAGCAAATTGGGCCGCCGTGATTGCAAAGAAGTAGGCCAATATATGCAGGGCTCTCGATTGTGTCTCGCGCGTAAGTAGCCATCCGGTCGCGAACCGGATCCGCACTGGCGGCGAAGGCGGAAAAGTGGGGGTTCAGATGAGACTTGCGCTCGTGGTCAAACACCGACCGGTGTAGCAGCGTTTGCTAGACAACCACAAGTCTGTCTTCTGGAAGGAAAACTCGTGCGTATAGTTGAAAGTGGAGGAGCTAGAATCGTAGTTTACAAAGTGGGTATGGGGTACGGATCAAGCTACCCGGGTAGAACGGCACAGGCGGTAGCGGTCAAAGGGTTCAGCTTCGAAATGATGTTGTCATGTTGTTTGGTGCATCGTGACTATAGGGTAGGGTTGAGCGAGTTTGCAGGTCACACGTGCAGACAAGATACGTGGGCAAGTAAATTGGTGTAGAGCCTGATAAGCTTCTGTGGTGATTTTGTATATGTGTTATCTAGATTGGAAGGGGCTAATACCGCAATCCTGATTTCTTCTAGCTATCTAACCTTCTTTCTACACGTCTCTTGAGTAATCTGAAGCTTGCAGCCCGTGCGGTCGCATTGCAGCAGACCGTCCGATCATCGGCGCTGCGCTCAAAGAGGCCTGGCAACATGTGTCGGCTTGGAATGACAGTTCGTGTTGCTCTAGTCTTCCGATAGTTCCCGCACCATGGACAAGGGCCAGGCGCACGCTAGTGGCTCCTCGTAGCAGGTACTCTGCATCCCAGACTAAGCTGTCGGGAGGTACCTAGACTCATGGCTGAAGCTGACAGCAGGCTGGCGGCGGGCTTGCTAAGGGCCCAGGGGACAAAGTTTGTGGCTGGTTGGATGCCTCCAAGTGGAGTGCTCATGGTACCAGGCCCTCTGATTCTTCGCCTTGCCACTGCTCGAATAGCTGGCGCACGCGGTAGTCGGTCGCCCAACCAATGTCCGACTCAATGTCTCGTAGGAGATGTAATACGACTTGGCGCTCTCGAGCATCGCTGAGGCACTGACCCGCAGTGAACAGGGGCTGCACAGAGTGGATCCGGACCGCTTCATCTGACCGAGCGAGCGAAATGCCAACAATTTCGCGGCTGTGCTTCTGGCACATGGCCAGAACGGACTGGTACGAGTTCATGCGTGCGACGACGGTGCTGCGCCCCTGGGTGGACTCGTGTGGCTTGTTCATGAACAGGAGAATCTGCGACATGTGGTATGTCTGCATCGTCGAGGCGCACATGGGAATCGAGTACCAGACCTCTGCAAACATGGAGGCATTATCGTTGTTGAACATCGGTCCGGACGTTTGGGCGGGTGCCACCCTGGCAGAAGGTTTGAAAGTCACCGGTAGTCCGTCGTGCCACACCTGGAACTGCTTGCGGAGACTAAACCAGTAATCCAGAAGGGTCCGCTGAGGAACGCCAGCCCAACTCATGCCGGCTTCGTTTGAGACTTCGTCTCCCGCAGCCATGAAGTTGACTAGCTTGGCCATGAGCCAGACCAGGGCGTTGCAGATGAGGTCTTCCCTCATCACCTTCTCCTCGTCGGGGTAACCGGTTGCTGTCGTGTTGCTAGGCATTATGTAGCCTCGCTCGTCGATCATGAGGCCAGCCTCTCTCCACAGCGTCAAGTCATCGGTGTCTAGCCTTGTGTTTGTCTTGTTGATGAAGGCTGCGAGCATGTCTTGTCTGGCAATGTTCCAGAACGTTGCTCGCCGAGCTTTTGATGTGAAGTTGAAGTTTGCGGATGGCATCGATGATGTGGGTGTTGGTAGTTGTAATGGCATAACATGCTCTTGTGAAAGGACAAGGAGGGACTTTGCACCATTCAGGTGCTTCGCCCAATCCGAAACGGAAGTGTCTAAGAACTCATAGACACAGAGAATAGCAGAGGCGGCCAACAGTTCGTCGGTGTTTGCTACGAATGAGGTGTTGCTGGAAGTTCGTCGTCGTTTGTGTGCTGGTCCGTCGTAGGCGGAGTTTTGCTGTCTTTGCTCGCACTCTGACTCGTCGGGAGAGGAGGCGACGTCCATCTTGAGAGCGTGCAACAGTAGTGACACAGCAGTATCATAGTATACCGCTGCCTTGTGCTTCCAGTCGACCAGTGGTGCCTCGGGGTACTGCTCCATCCTAGCTTGACGCGTTACACTGCCTCCCATAACAGGCTTACGACCCTGAACACGAGCAAGAGCCTTCGCCGCACAGGCAACAGCTGCGTACTTGAGTAATGGGTTGTCACGCGCCTGTACGGGGACGTAAGACGCGAAGTAAGTGCCAAGGTCGAATAGGTCCATCCAGTAACCGGGGCCTTCTGAGAACCACCGGAGAAGGAACGCGATTTCGTGGTCATCTTGAGTGGACATGCTGACGTCCGAGCGAGGTGGTGATCGCCGTGAGCTTGATATTGAAACTGAGCGGTGCATGTGGTCGGCCGAGTCGTACGGTGAGTTGAGGCGAGGGTCTATGGGCGGCGACGCTGTGGAAGCTGGGAATTCCATCACGGGATGTATTCTTCGGTTGCATAATGATAGAGGAGGCGAGAGTGGGGTGCCTACAACAGATGCGGGTGGTGACTGCATCAGTGGTGGTAGACTTTCTAGGTCGGGGGTATAACAGAAAGGAACGCTGGTAGGAGGCATCTCGGGCCCCATGCTCGATGGTGTGCTGGTAACTGAATGGAAGTTGCTGTGTGTGCGCCATGAAGGCAAAGAGCGAGCCTCGAATGGGCCAGGCGACTCCATGGAAGCTGTCGACATTGTGTCAAAGTCGGGTGTCCCGGGATCCAGGTACGGGTTGGTGGTGTTGATGAAGGTGACTGGGTAAGGCGTTAGCCAAGCTACATGGGTTACGTGAGACAGGACCTACCATGCTTGGGGATATCCATCCAGATGGCGTCCTCATCGAATGTGTTTTTGTAGGCGTAGAAGCCCTTCAGCGAGTTCTCGTCCCCTGAGTCTTCGCCGTTCATGGAGGCATTGTGTTGGTGGCGAAAGACGATGCCTGAGGATGGAATGCATTCTCTTGAGGCCTTGGTGCATTGTCCGCACACGGGCTTCTTCTCATCACACTTCAGCTTCCGCTGACGGCAAGTGAGACTGCGGGAGGCGTCAGTGGGCGACGACGTGGAAAGACAGGTCGACATACCATCCGGTTCGTGATCGCATTTCAACGTAGTTCAATCGTGTGGGTCTTGATGCGAAAAGCTTAAGATATCATAGCCTCGAGCCGAGGGAAGTGGGTAAGAAAAAGCATCCACATGAGTCGGAGAGAGCTGCCCTATATCTATACCAGTATGTCGCGGGCGATAAAGCGTTTGATACTCGATGGTTAGATGCGGGGTCTAGCATGGGTTCGCGCCAGTTGCGGATCCACCGTCACCATGAGCAAGGTTACGAAAATCGACGAAAGGCTTGCTCCTGGGCTAGTGCAGTAATCTGAATCGCGCTCGCGTTGCTCAATTTAGCTGGTGTGTGAGAAGCCAGACCTCAGTGTAAGGAACTAACCTGGGCCCGCCGCGCCCACGCCAGGTCGCGTCAAGCGCCGCAGTCAGCCGAGCCATGGCCGAGTTGCTATGCATACACCACTTGCAGACGCTGCAGACGTGCGCTGGGGGAAGACTAGCCGGATTATGGACGCTAACTTGCCACTGAATTTAAACTTTTCTCCTGGTCGCTGCGCGTTCGGCTAAGGATGCAGGTCGGCCCTTCTACCTGGACTACCAACGCATTAGGGGCGGTTTTCCCTGTCTTCGCAGCCGGAACTTCACTTCCTACGACCCCGCCAAGAAGCATAATAACCTATGGGAAATGTCGGAATAACCTCCACGACCTGAGCGAGCTTTGACGATAAGGCGCTGGAAGCGTTAACAGCGGCAGCGCGATGAACCTCTCTCATCATCGCATTTCCCAATCTTCGATGAGCACGCAAGCATCGGATGCTGGTGCGGCCGCCTTCACCGCCGCCCACCCGTCCACCCGTGCGCGCTTACGGTTATTGCAAGGGCTGTCGCTATTGCGACACCTTCTGCTTCTTCTTGGGACGTTCTGGTACCGCCTCGCCGGCGTCACTCTCCGCATCTTCCATTTCAGCATCGCTGTCGGACCCGCTGCTCTGATGGTCGGAGTCAAATTCTTCGCCAACCTCCGATTCCGAATCGGCCTGGAAGTCCTCGTCGACACTTTCGTCATCTTCGTCGGCGCTACCGCGGTTCGCTGGAGCTCCATCGTCACTGGACGCGAGGTCTTCGTCTTGGAGAGCAGCTGCCAGAATGGCTCCAGACTATATCGTTGCGTCAGCACGTCTCGAGCAAAAGGGACAATGTTACTTACGTCGTCCGCCATCTCGTTCTTAGTCTTGATGCCCTTTGCACGGAAAAAGTTCTCGAGTGGCTGTTGCTCCTCACTACTTGGTGTTAGCTCAGCTTTTCGGGTTGTGGAAGTAAACTGACCGATTGATGTTCGAGAACTGATGTTCAGCCATGCCGTTCTTCATGCTGAAAGTGATATCAAATGTGCGGCTGGCGGCCATGGCTCCACCAACACGCGACATGGTCACAGAGGCAATGTTGTCCATGCTGATATATGTCGCAGGCTTAGGGATGAACATGAAGGCCTTGTCGAGGCAGAACAGATGACCCTCGTTGGCCTTGATGGAACACTTGACACCCGACTGCTCGTGGTGGCTGATGAAGTCGCGAGACGGCCTGGTGATGCGCTTCCCACTGAGTCCCCTGAAGATATCTGCCACAACTGTAGCAATCGGGGCTTCATAGTGCGACTGAAGCTTGTCCTTGTACTTGTCCTCCAAAAGGTCTCCCTTCATGTTGAGGTCGAGATTAACTTCCTCATCGCGCTTGAACTGCATTACGAGGAATGGGTATCGCGTCTGACCCTGGCGGAGGGGAGGATCGAGACCGACGGTGATCAAAGTGTGCATGTCGTCGGGTTTTGGCAAAACCATGAACTTCTTGACCGAGTCGAACTGAATCTTGTAGTCGTATGTTTTACCGCGTAACCGGAAGGAGCTCTCGTACATGTCGATATCGAATCGACCTCTGCCAATGGGTCAGTACTTCTTCCAAAACTACAGATGCGAGTGCCATACCTGGGAGTGAGATGTAGGATGTCCAAGAAAGTGGCAAATGTGTCACCAGCGACTTCTCCAATCTCGGCCTTCTCCATCAGCGTCTCGTAGAACAGGTTGGCGGCATTGGTCTCCTCGACGTCCTCAGCCCCAGAGGCGTCCTCGCCGTCCTCTGTCTTCTCCTTCTTCGACGCAGTACCGGGTATGTAGAAGCGCATCTCGACAAGCTGGTCGCGGGCGCCTGCCGACTTCTTGCCTCTGAACCTTGCGCCTCCCAGATTTCCGTTTGCGCCAGCGTCGCCATCGGCAGGCAACGAGAAGTCGACGGCGACTTCGTTCTTGCCCGCCAAGTTCGTGTTGGACACTTCGGTGTAGGGGACTTCGAAGGCGGGGCGGTTGGCTACGTTGAAGGTGAGTTCGGCCTTCCCAAAGTCGGCCTTTCCCCAGTTCCAGCCACGCAGCGCATGCTCCCGGTTGTCCAGCCCGATGCCGTACCAAGTCTTGAAGACTTTGGAGACGCGGTCGAAATCCTCCTGCTTGAAGCCATCGAGTTGTATCACGCCGTCGTTGCGCGAGAGAATCTTGACTTCGTATCCGCGTGATGCTCGGCTCCACTGCGCTTGCTGGATCTGTGACTGGTCGCAAGTGTAGGTTTCGCCGTTTGCGGGCTTCCAGCCAAAGCCAGAGTCGGAGAATCGAGTCGCGCCAGGCTTCCGCGAAAGGTTGAGGTAGATGTCGTTGAACGCCTCCCTGCGCTGTGTTAGCTTCGCCTGTCAGGTCTGTCGCGGACTTTGATTTCTTACATGTTTGCGGTCGCGTCAGAATATTGTAATACTTGTGAAGCAAGACGACCACGGTAATGGGGAGTTGAAGGCGCGACGGAGGGAAGTCGTTACCGGCAAGTTGGTGCTCTCACTTCGTAAACGCGCTGTTTGCTTACCTAAATCCGCTAGTTGCAGATCGCACGTGATAGCGCGATTTCCCTCGCGTCTTATGCAACCAACTTCACTTGCTACTTCCATCTCCATGATGATGGCACGGGTACCAGAGAGTCATTGCCAGTCTTGCCTGGAGTTTTCAGCTCTTTTGTCCCCCCTAAATGCATTCGCTACTCCTCATCGATCGAAGTAGGCTGCACCTGAACAAGCTCTTCCCACATTAAGCAACCGCGAATCCTTCATTCAGCTGTATCATGAGTTCTCCTGGTGTCATTGGTGCTCGATACCGCGACCCAGATCATCTTGCTCGTCGACAGTTCGAACGCATGAGCTCCTTTCTACTATCATTACGCTTCCAATATTCACGATCGCTTCATATCTTTGAGGCATATGATGTAAGCGTAGATACTGCGATTTTTATTCCTGGATCGACACAACCCGAGACAAGCTATGAATTCTTCGCCCGGGTCGTTGAGCGGTGTTTTCACCAGCGCGCTACAGCTTTTCAAATGACTGGCCAACGTCAAGGAAATACTGCCGCCTCAGCGCCTCTGTCCAAGCAAGCCATCCCGCGAACCATCATACCTTGCGCATTTCGCCTTACAATCGACTATCCGCACCTGATCGCGCCAAATCGCTTGACTTGTCCATGGTTCAAAGGACTAGACTCTGCTTCGCCACAGAGATCAGGCTCCTTCAGTCTGAAGACAGCATATTATCGATTCATAGTTTTGTAGTCCGTATCGCAAATGTCAATGGCAGCAAAATTGGTCAACCCTTGTTCACCCTCTTCTTCGAATCAGTTTGTCCTATCAGTTTGATAAGGTTGAGTCATTTGCTGAAGGTTTCACATCACGAACTGGATCGTCGACCTGTTCTGGACTGTTCACTGCTTGTGGCAACATGCCACGTCAATTGCGGCTATGCATCCCCTCTAGACTACGGACCGCAGCTCATTTCGCCTCAAAGCTAATGTCATCACATGTTTCTAGCTGCATCACCTTTCCCTATCTCCAGCCAACAATCCACTTGTTTCGTCGCGCACAAGGAGTTTAACTTTAGGAAGGATGGATACTGCCTCGCATGTGTACGCTCTGGTCATCAGTGTCCATTTCTCAAGGTCGCAGTCATTGAGTTTAGACTGACCACTGCGCTGAAACCTTCAATCACTTGCGTCAACGTGAATATGCAATCTCATCACTTCGGCTGCGGAGCGTCTAAACGCCCTGTACACTAGCTCCTGAGCTGAGCTGTTTAGACGGAAGTTTGAAGACTTCGTAAGTGACGCATGCTGAACTCGGTCCGGCTGTACCTGACGCAACTCATCCCTATCTGGCCTTTGGAAGAACGAGGTCTGATTCGTTGAATTCATCAAGACGTTACAGATACGTCGTTTCAATGAAGCGGCTTGGGTTCTGGTCGATGGATACATGGACTGTAATATCCCTGGGCGTACGTGTGCACGCCACTAGAATGCACGAGATTAGCCGGATCAACGCACCCTTCGATTACATACAATGCTCTTCCAGCCCCCACAGCTGTTGCGGTCAAAGTGATGAACATTCGCCCGAGCATTTGCCCCAGATTAAGGTGTCGACGAACGACAGTAGCGTACGGCAGGAGTATACTCCGCGAGGTGGTAAATGTCGCACGGGAACTCAAAATCTCGTACGTTCTGTAGCCGAAATATCCAATCCTAATTAGGTCACTAGGTGAAATGAGTCCACCTTCTCGGAGTTGCATCCGGATGCTCTTTTATACTGTTCCGCCTCGAAACGAATTCTGTTCATTTTCGGGAATCTTGAACCGAGGCTTCTCATCTCGTATCGGTCACTGCCTGGGCAGGTTTTGGGGAATGTACAATTCATCGCGATCTATGTTCGTCATATATTTGAATATGCCGTGCGGAAGTGATGGACACTCGGGAACGGTGTAGTTGTTATGAGCGTGCACCCAGGTACGTAACGAGCTGGGTGAATTGCGAGCACTAAACAGCTGCAGGACGCTTCGTTAAGGGAACGGGCGCTTTCCTCAGATTCAATGCACATAAGTTCTCGCAGTTGCGATACTTCTCATTCGAGAGCGTCTCCTTCCGTATGAGTCGTATGAACTGCGGAAGGTGCGGTTGGCTCGTCGTCTCTAGTTCGCCTCTGGGCCATCGCAGTACCATGGGACGGCGGCTGAACGCATCTAAACAACGATGCAGAGCAAGGAAACATTTACGATGATGTTAATTGAAGCATCTAACAGAAAGCTCCTATGACGTTATCTGGTGCCTGTCTTACTCAGCATGCCCCTCCAGGTGAGCTCGGAGCTACCCCGCCATGCCGGTACTTCGCTCAGCTCCTTCGACACGACCGAACACCCCCATCATGACACCATGACGGATACGAGCGCACAACAGGCTGAAAGCCACTATTTTGCCAATGAGCCCCCGCCAAAAGATCTCAAAACGAACACGACACTTGCGCGCGAGTTCATTACGCGTCATGCCGACGAGGGCCGTCGTGTCGTGCTTGTCACTTCAGGTGGCACTACAGTGCCTCTAGAGCAGCAGACAGTCCGCTATATCGACAACTTCTCGGCCGGTACTCGGGGAGCCACCAGTGCTGAGTACTTCCTCCAAAATGGCTATGCCGTCATCTTCCTGCACCGACAGTTTTCGCTGTTGCCTTTCTCACGACACTACTCGCACAACACGCGCTCATTCCTGGACTACATGAAGGAGGAAAATGGACAGGTAGTGGTGGATGAACAGCACCAGGACCAGATGTTGCGCGTGTTGCGCCAGTACACGGAGGTCAAGCGAGAGAACAAGCTATTGATCCTGTCATACGTGACCATCACCGAGTACCTGTGGAATCTGCGCGAGGTTGCGCAACTCATGCGTCCACTTGGGCCGAAAGCCATGTTCTACTTGGCCGCCGCCGTGTCTGACTTCTTCGTACCCCAAGACCGCATGGTCGAACACAAGATACAGTCCAACGAAGAGTTCCACCAGGGCCCAGATGGCGCCCGTGGGGGCGACGTAAAGCCACCGGCTGCGCGTACTGAAGGAAAGAGTCTGATCATCGATCTCGAGCCGGTACCTAAGTTCCTCAAGCAGCTGGTGGATGGCTGGGCGCCCGATGCGATGATTGTGAGCTTCAAGCTGGAGACTGACCCTGCCTTGCTGGTTACCAAAGCCAAATACGCCCTGAACAAATACTCGCACCATCTTGTAATCGGAAATCTACTAGCCACTCGGAAATGGGAAGTCGTGTTCGTGTCCGTCTTCGATGACGAAAAATGGATACGCGTACCCACCAGCCGTAGAACGAAGAGCTTGTCAGGAATGCCATCACTTGTCGGGTTGGCCGATCCCTTGACCAAGAAGGACGTTCAAGCAAGCGAATCACTTGCAACAGAGAAAGGGGTACCGCAGGGCGAGCCTTCTCTGGAAATCGAATCTCTTATCATCCCCGAGATTGAGAAGATGCACACCAAGCTCATAGACAAGACCCCTGCATAGCAATCCCAGACATGATGAGCAAGCGTTGTTTGTACTTTGCCTTCCACGGCATGTGTTCCGATACGGGTCATTGGATCGCACGGCATCTTACACGTGTTCATCAGGCTTTCAATCTACATATTACATTGATTTTACCGCATTGCTCACTCTAGGATGACCCTCCACTGTGCCGAAGTGTGGCGTATGCTGGCGCCCCAAATAACCAACAAGACAGCACCGATGCCGACTATGCCAGCGAAGACCCCAGCCAGGGTACCGAAAGCTCGGACAAAACCCGCCTCTTCAGCCCAAGGGATTACACCGAAGAGGAAGCCAAATGCCACGATGTTCTTCAGCCCGTTCACAAGCAGCAGTACGTCCGAGTTGACTGGAAATGCGCAGTCGCTCACATACGCTATAGTGATCGTTGGCATGGCTGTGAGCGCGATCGAGATCATGCCGTACCCAAAAAAGAGCGAAACCCACGACATGGCGTTCTGAACACCGTAGCCGAACACAAGACAGCCTGCTGTTGTGATCACCAACGGAATGCCCACCAGGTATAGTCGTGTTTCTGGCTCGTAGATGCCGAGCATTTTCCTTGTTCGCCACCTGCACCACGCGTCCACGAGGTCACCTGTATTCAATCAGCACGTTTCCTGGCTACGTGGTGCTCAATTGTGACTTACCTCCTGCCCAAGCCCCGATCACATTGCCCAAAAGGCCTGGGATATTGATCAGGCCGTTGATCTGTGGGCTCCAATTGTACGGAGGTGCTTGCAGCACGAACGGATTGAGAATGTTGACCGCGATGGTAATGACCAGGGATATGGAGTAGCAGAGAAACGCGTATATGACCGCGGGATACACGATCATCGGCCACGGTCTGCTAGACGTTAGCATCGGCTTCCCCGCCCCGCTGAATAAATACATACCGTATAAACAGCTTCACCAGACTCGTCTCCGAGACGCCACTCCACAGGCTCAGCTCCTGCCTCCATGTGTTCTTTACCTCTTGGTGCAAGATGCGGTTACTCGATTTTGGGCGAAGATGTTTCTCTTCCGCCATGACGATCTTATCGTTTGAAGGACAGATAGCCACACCAGCGCCTTTGATATGCTCACGCGCGTATCGAGTCTCAGGGACTAAGAGCAGTATCGTGAGGAAGTTGAGTGCGGTCAGAATTGCAGCAATCCACTTGTGCCATCGCCAGCTGAGGTTCGTCGCGATGAAGCCGCAGACCAACGGTCCCACCGTATTACCACCTGCTATCGCGTTCCTGATGCACAGTCAGCGTACTGAAAAGGGTACATAGGGAGGGGATATATGCTCACATATAGAGACCCATCTTGCTGCCTCGTTCATGCAGGAAGAACAGGTCCTGGGAACACTCAGTCAGCTCGTCGGTCAAGATCGCTCAGCCCATTGCCCTTTGATTGGGTTTGGATATGAGCAAGTAGTACAGGATTACTCACATTGACTATTGCAGCACCCAGAGCTTCTGTAGAAGACCCTGCGAACGCGGCGACAATATTACTCCACAAAAGGCTCTTGAACGAATTCGCCATGGCGCCCCAGACGCAGCATGCGCACAGCAGGGCACTGGCGAATACGAAAACCGGTCGTTTCCCGAAATGATTGGCCATTGGTACCCAGAAGAAATTGAACACGCCCAAGACCAAGACGGGGTATAAAAGTAGATGCGCAGTCTCGTCCATCGGCTTATCAAACTCGAGCGAGAGAATATGGAACGCTGGCGCTAACCCTGCGATCGAATAGTTTGTCAGGAAAGTAAAGGCGCACACCGAAGCGAATGCGACATGTTTCTTCCATCGTGGCCAGCGGAGAGGGTCGTTCGGGTCGGTTGGCGAGGGTTGTGGGAAGAGGACGATGTCTGCCGGTGCACTTTCACCATACCCAGCTGCAGGCGCCGAATTAGCTCCGCATTCGAACGGACAAAGACGAGCATCACCGTACCTTGTTGCAACACCACCGTACCGTCAGTGCGATCTAGAGCCCTCAGGCTGGTGAAATGGAAGCCCATCATAATGTCAAGAGCCTTGGAACCAGCAGTAATCTCGACCTTGGGATCCTTTACTTCGGGTAGGAAACTGCCACTCAGAACCAGGACCAAGCAGGTGCGTCGCTATCGCTTTTAGTCTTGTCTTTAATGGGCGACATGGGGAGCACCCAGCGGAAGGTAAACATTGTTGACATGTGGTCGGACGCATGCTATGTAGGGCTTACGGAGTTCCGTGCAAGGCAAGATTACAGGTGCAGACTAGTCAACCAGGAAACTTTCCAAGGTTCTCACGCGCAGCAGGCGCCAGATTTGTTGATATACACATGCGGTCGTGTCTCCATGCTTGCTTATTTGGTTGGCTGAATGGAGATGGCTAATATGGGTATGGGGTCTGTCTGGTGCTGACATGCTGGACGTTCATGCAGTCCCGGGACATGCGGGGCCGGTCGAGATCCCGTGCCCACCATGATCGACGGCCAGACTCGATTCTGAAGGCCCTTCTCTACAAAAGAAACGCTCAAGTGCCATGGGAGATGCCGGACTGAAAGGCAGTAGCGTATATTCGTGCTTCGACTGCCGACTGCCACGATCCCGTTGCGTGGATCAGTCGATGGCAATGTGAATGTCGATTATGGTGTCAACAACCAACTTTGGCAGCCGTGCCAGTCCTTGTCGTACACACGATCGGTGGTAATCACGACTTCGTGAGATTGCGTCGCCATGCGCTCATCTCTTTGCTTTGTCAACCTGTGAGCGCCCTCAATCGCTGCGCCTGTCCCTCATGAGACGACCTTGGAACGAGTCAAACATTCTCCATGTTACTGCGGATGGAGATTCCCCGAGGTCTGAGCTAAGGCATCTCCACCGCGCGACGAGAGGAGGCTTGCGTCATGTCGGAGACTTATCGATCACTTTAGTGACGCTCAAGAAGCCGTGCATGATTGTTGTTGCGGCGTCATCCCGTCCCGTCTCGCTAATCATCGCGCCAAGCCTACCAGCGTGAAGGCCGCGGGGGATGCGACCTTGGAACCACAACTTCAACTCTCCACCCAAGCATCCCAACTAGCACACCACAGTGGATTGACTCGGCTTCTACCGCTCACGTTATCAAATCACGTTGCTAAGGTGGTGGTCGCGCGGCCAGTGCTCAGACGCTCGACGATACGGATGGAAGCCGAGCTATGCTTCCCGAATGCAACGTTGGACACATCGCAGAACATGACACGGAGGGGCAGTTGAGATGGATCGTATGGCGAGTGATCGATTTCAGTGTGAAAGGTTTCCTTCTCTGATGACGCTGACGTTCGCATCTAAGGCTTTATCTGACGCGACAGCTCGTTTTTCCTTACGCCACAACGTCTCGGATTGCGCGCCCAGTCGTCATGAAGCTGTAAATTCATCTTCGTCATATCGTCCTCTTCAGATTGCGACACGAATCATGTGCGGTCTTTTCTTCTTCCCTCGAACAATGAAGGGTCTCAGAATGAACATGGAGTTACGTTTCAATGACGCCGTACGACAAGAACGAGATCCAATACAATACCCCACGGCCATGTCTACGACCGCACAAATGAGTCCAAGTGACACGACTTCTTTGCTAGCTGAATTGGGTGGATATACTGCATTTGTTCCGATTCCCCATGGCGTCCGTCAAGAGGATCAGCAGAGCCATCAACGCGCGCTGCAAAGCATACCGCATGCGCAGGCATATTTGCATCGTTTTAGAGCGTTTCTCGACAGACGCCATCGCATGCTGACAAGACAGTGCTTCCTTGCACCTTTGCTTTTCGCCCATGAACCCTGCCCATCGGGTCCACGGTGACGCCTTGCGTTGCACGGCGTGGCGCTTATTGGACCAAGCACATATCGCATTCCCGCTAAACAGCCAAAGAGACGCGGAGATCTTACTGCTACTGCACGTTCATCGACCGAAGATCAATAGAGTACAGCGCTGTCGAATCCGCGGATGCGGCGCAACGTGACGCTTGATCCTAGCCTACACCAAAGTCTCTCTATCGGAGTGTATCCCCGCCACCGCCAAAGCATGGTGACTTATTTGGATTAGACTTATAACCTGATAACCACCCTGTCTCACCGCTTGGCCCCGGTACCCTGGACTCGCACCAGTATATATCGTCTACGAACCCAGACTCTTACCAAAGTTTCTTTGCATCGTAGGCCCAACACCTCCCTTTCCTCACGCTATCACTCCTCACCATCTCCAACACTGAAACATAGTCGCTATATGGCTACATCGACAGTGGCCAGACTCGCGCCCCAGAACTCTCCAGCCCTAGCAAGAAACCCATCACCTCTCATGGATCCCCGACCACCACCAGGAAATCCAGCGACGACTGCGGAGATGTGGGATAGGTACGAGAGGCAAGCTGTGGAGACGGCCAGAACGAGAGAGAGGACTATGCAGCCACCACAGCCCCACCGCATAGTGATTCCAATCAAAGACAAAAGGCATAGACCAAATGACGTTTCACCGACAATACCAAGCTTCGACTTCAGAAGACGTGGCCACACAACAGCGGTCTCGACTACACTAGCTACCTGCAAGACCTGTACACTTCCTATCACCTATGTCTCTGGAGTTTGCGAAAGTTGTACAAGAACCATCATCTTGCCATCTTCCAGCGGCGAAACCACTCCGCCTATCAGTCCAGCCTCTCGGAACTTCGCCTCTACTGACCTTATTAAATTGCGCAAGAACTCATATGGGGAAGATGTCAACATCCGAACATCAACAACATCATCGCGACGAACGTCGTACTGTCCACTACCAGCGCACCTTGCAGACCCCTCATTCCGGCTGTCCACACTACAGCCACCCCCCGAACTGGAAGCTTTCTCCAACGACCCCATACGAAACAGAAGAAAGACATCTCTCACAGACCCCAACGAGCCATTCCTCCGTTTACAAATCGCGCAACAAGCACCTTTACCCCGGTCTACAATGAACTCACCACCCATAACCCCTACATCACCACCGCCATGGGCAACCCATTCTCGCTCTTCCACGCGACGATCCAGTCTAGCAAACGCGGCAATACTGCCAAAGCCCGCCTACCCACACGCGCGCACCGACAGTGTAGCTTTATCAGAATACAGCACCCTCTGCCCCATCCAAACCACACTAACAACCAAACTGGACAACACAACCAGCGCCTGGGACGACTGGGATAGCGACAACGATGACGCGGATAGAGCGGGTCTCGCGAGCTGGATGGGCCGGCGCAAAACCAAGGGTCGAGGTAGTGGGCCCAGGGAAGGCAAAGGTAGCATGGACAGCACTGAGAGCGACAACGACGCCACGAGGCCCAGTCTGTGTTTGCGAGAGACACCCAAGAAGGCAAAGAAGAGCATGAACATCAGTAAAGAAGATCAAGGTTTAGAACGCGCTAGGATTGAAGCTGCGGAGAATGCGAGGGCAAGGCGGCGAGACGCGGAACAGAAGCTTGCGAAGAAGAAACCGAGTGGGTTCATCAGGGCGATTACCTGTGGGAAGAGCGATACTGATGGTTAAGTTTGTTTTACGCGGTTACTGCTTTCCTTGCGTTTTGGTTTGAGCAGGGCGTTTATCATGGGCGATATTTTTAAGGATGATACCACGCAAAAAGGTTGGACTGGTGTTTCGGTATTGGGCTCTATGGTATACATGTTTTACGACTACATAGGCGATTAAGCTATCTTAACTCATAACGTATAATATATTATTCAGAAGAAGTTCATATTCGTTCGTTGTCACTTGCATTGTCATCGCTTTCGCGATCTCACTCAGCGATACATTCCCACTTCTCCCAATAACAGCGCGGAAGTATCATCACAGACCCATCCACCCCATTCATCCCGAAAAATCCATCCCTACATTCCCAACCCCATACTCGAAGCCAACACACACACCCTCCACCGCTAAACGCCCTCCTGCACATTCCCGCACCCGCATCCGCATACCTACCTATCTACCTACCTTCCTATTCCCGTACCTGCTACCGAAGTCGCGTACACCCAGCCGCGCGCTCCCGCCCAGTCCACCCGGTAAGAGGTGAGAATGCGGGTAGGCGAGCGGTGACCCCATTGCTAGTCTTCACAGGGTCGTTGGCCGAAAAGCCGCGTAGGGGGTGGTAGGGGTAAGCGAGGATGCTGTGGGAGGCGGTGATGTGGCCTGGGGTACGACTGACGAGGCGGATGTGTTGAGGTGGGGTGGGGGGTTTAGAGGTCCGGTCGTATGGTGGAAGGTGAGTTGGGGGATATTTGGCAGTGGGGTGAACCAGACGGTGGAGTGGATTGCGATGAGCTGCTCATGACAGCTTAAGACA